AGGTAAGGATAAGACGAGATAGGTGGGCATCGTTTTCTACTAGAACTCTGTTTATATAACTTATATCAGTCGAATTACCATAGGCAATATACTACTCACTCGTACCTACCTATCAATTACTTTTATCAAAGTGGTCAAAATTCCAGCCTGCCGCCCTTTCTCCCAATATTAGAGGGAGTATCACCCGAATCACCCCCCACATCACCATGACAACGATCCATGAGCTGACTTGGTTGGTTAAATCAACAAAGAGTCAAAGGGTAGGTAGGTAATTATACGGTCTGTACTTTACTTTCATTAATTAAACTCCGCAATTAACCCAATCCACCTTTCTGCATACCGATCATTTCTGTACGAAGTAGATTGTTAGACAACTTTCCAGCGTACAGCTTTGCTTTTAACTTCATCGATTCTTTTTTCCATCACCTCTCAATATCTCTAATTAACTCTTTGCCCTTCGAAGGGCTGGGTTTGAGAGTCACCTACCAAATAGCGAATTGAGCAACCAACCCCTTTAATACTAGTCAAGATGCCGGGAACGATATCAGATGGACCCTCCGTGACCATGAGCTTCGCAAATAATTTTTGGGGGAAGGATGACGCTGGTGTTGAGCCATTGATACAGCGTATGGTCCATGCGAAACAAACTTGTGATGAATTGAAATCTTTCTATAATGGTATGTTTACCATGATTGCGCGTTGGGGCGTTGCTAACCCGTCGTATAGCGCGTGCCGCCCTCGAGGAGGAATATGCTCGCAAGTTACTCCAATTATCACGAAAACCATTAGGATCTCAAGAGACAGGAACTCTGCGCCATTCACTGGATGTTCTGAAGGGGGAAGTCGAGGCGATGGGAAAGGCTCATCAAACAATTGCTGGGCAAATGAAAACAGAGCTAGAGGAGCCGCTGGCGGCCTTTGCTGGTGCAATGAAGGAGAGAAGGAAGATTGTTCAACATGGCACAGAAAAACTACTAAAGATCAAGGTACAACAGACAAATCAAGTCAACAAGGTAAAGGATTCCAACTTTGAAGGCTGGATAGCTATTAATTAAATGGCAGACTCGAGACAAATATGAACAAGAGTGCCTCAAGATTAAAGGATACCTCGCGCAAGGGCACATGGTAATGGGTCAGGAAGAACGAAAAAACAAAGCAAAGCTCGAGAAAACTCAAGTGAATTTGGCTACATCTAATACCGAGTACGAAAACGCAGTTAAGATACTCGAGGAAACAACAGGTCGTTGGAATAGAGATTGGAAACAGGCTGCAGACAAGTTTCAAGATCTTGAAGAAGAAAGACTCGACTTCATGAAGAGTAGCTTGTGGAGTTTCGCAAATATCGCTTCCACTGTTTGTGTAAGCGATGATGCCTCTTGTGAGAAGGTTCGCCTGGCGCTTGAAGATTGCGAGGTAGAGAAAGACATCATGTCTTTTATAAACGAGTGCGGGACTGGGCAGGAAATTCCGGATCCGCCAAAATACATTAATTTCTGTCGCGGTGATGCCGATTCACAATCTGAGGCTTCTGAAGACGACGCTTACTCAGTAGCACAATTTCAACGGACCATAAATCCAGCGTATAGAAGTTCTTCGCCACAGCCATCTACCTACGAATCTCACCATGACCCTCAATCGGCTCTTGCTAAGGAGTTAGCTCATGAGGTTGAAACACCGAAGAGCCGAGAGGCAACCGTCACTCCTCAGAAGCTTGCACCATCAAGTTCGACCCCGGACAGATCGCGACATGCCCAAGTAGAGGATTACGAACCAGAGCCACCTATACAAGCCCCACCTGCTCAGTTGGAGTATCAACAACCAGCTCGTCCCAGAGCCCAATCTCAGGCTAGTTATTCCCAACCGGGTCGAGCTCGCCCCCAGTCTCAAACAGATTATCAACAACCTGGGAGGCAAAGGCAGCAACCTCCACAAGATTATCAGCAAGCAGAAAGACAAAGGCAGCAAGCGCACATCAATCAACAACAGGCAGAAAGGCAAAGGAAGCAATCCGTTGATTATCAACAAATTGACAGACAACAACAAAGCGAAAGACAGAAGCAAGCACAAGCACAAGCACAAGCACAAGCCCAGGCTAATTATCGTCAACAAGAACGCCCAAAGCAAGCTCAGCTTGAGTATAAACCTCAGATTCTGCAACAGCCTCAAGTGGATTATCAACGCCCCGATAGCTCCAGGTTACCGAAGATGGACTGGTCGAAGCCAATACAAATGCCTTACGAGCAACAACAAGGTCAATTGGTTCCAAAACAGGGACAAATTGCTCAAGTACCCCACAATCCTCATCCTACGGATGGCATGACAATGTTGTGTCGAACAGGACCCTCATCAGCACCTTCAGATATGAGCTCCGCCGCGAATAGCCCAGTACGACCATCCAGTCGCGATTCCCAAAGCGATTATTCGAATCCTACATCATTCTCAAGCCAAGAACCTCCAAGTGGAAAAGCTTCACCAGTAAAACAAAGCGCGCCGATCGTTGAGAAGCCGATCCAGAAGAGAAAGAGTGGAATCTTCCATAGCCCATTTCGAAGAAAGAGCACCAAGGGTGGGGAAGAAGTTGCTGTTGCCAGACCAGCTCCATCAAATCGCAATACATGGTCCGGTCGAAATACCAGTGTTCAGAGTACTCCAGCTGGGAGACCAAATTCGAGAATGATACAGCCAGCGCCACAAACTATGATGCTGACTGACCGACCCAGCAATAGCCCAGAGCCCGTTGATCCAAGGGCCAACTTTCAATTGAACATCGGAAACAACGTTTTTGATGTTGCAGCGCCTGAGAAAAAGAACAAGCTTGCTCAAAGCACCCCTGCAAGCCAAGCAGCAGAAGAATCTGATCCCATAGCTCAAGCTCTTGCTGACCTCAAAGTTGTTACTAAAGCTTCATCTACTAGGGTGTCTGCAGATAAATATCACGGAGTGGCTACTCCCGCCCCGGATGCGGCGCCTACATCCAGACCTATCGGATCTCAAATGGTCAATGGGGCTTTGATGGCTGGTATGCGTGGCACACCCCCACCATCTTACGATCCAACTCCTGTTGAGAGACTTGGCCTTCCATCCCCCGCCTTCACTTCAAAGTCGATGCAGCAAACTCGTCAAAAGTACGTCGACCAAACAGCGAACATGTTTAGTCCTCCCCAACCAAGACCAGATTCACAGCAAGCCGGGTATGGCTCACGTCCCGGAACAAGGGGGTCAGATATGCCTCGTACTACATCACCAGCGCCCGCTAGGAGTATTTCCCCTCGACCTGGAACACAGGCTGAAATGAGACAAGCTGCCTCTCCCAAATACGCTGGAAGCACTCACTCTCGTACCGGATCCGCTCCTCAGCAAAAGCGGGGCTCTGATACTTATTATCAACGCAATTCCCCCAGCATTTCTGCTCGTGGCGTCTCGCCAGCCCCATATGCACAACAAGAAAGGCCCAGCAGTAGCCACGTCAAAGCTCCCTTTCAGCAACAAGAGAGACCTAGCAGCAGTCATGTCAAGGCCCCATTCGCACAACAGGATAGACCTTCCAGTAGCCATTCAATGGGTATGGTAAATAACAGCATGGCAATACAATTAGCTTCGGGTCACGATGACGGTTACGGCTCTCAGGGGAGAAGCGGCAGTAGAGCTAGTGCCGGTTCAAGAGCCATGAGCCATTATGGAAGTGGAAGTGACCAGCAATTGGCAGCCCGAAGCAGAAGTAAAAGCGTTGCGGATGTCCGCCAATTTAACAGTCAGGGCCGCCCCATTCTACATTTCGGTAATTTCCCCTGGCCTTGATCATTTGAGTAATACTAACAATCTATCAGCTCGCGCACTCTATATGTATCAAGCAGCTATCCCCGAAGAACTTAGTTTTGCAAAGGGTGATATTCTTGCCGTTATGACGCACCAAGATGACGGGTGGTGGGAGGCAGAAGTAGCTGGAAAGAATGGCCGACCGGGTTTGGTACCAAGCAATTATCTTCAAAACTGTTGAGCTCATTAACAGATTCGAGAAGATCGGAGTAGTAATGATTGGACACGAGGCTTGGGTATGATATGAGAATTTGTGACTATGATAGTTCATGAAATGATGATGCAATGTACGCAGTTGGACGATGGATGATGGACTACACTTTTTATTTCTCACTTTCTTTCTAAATTTTTTGGATTCATACATTACGTGTTATATTCTTTTGACTTCTAGCGAGGGGATGGAGAGGAGAAGGGGGTTAGGTTTTTTTCAGCCAGCGAGAGCGTTATGAGGATGGGCGGATTTGTGTTATACCTTTTTGATGAATGAGCTTATTAGGTTCTTTTGATGTTATTGTTTGCTGTTTACAAATTAGAGGGGCCACAAGGAGAGCAATATTGGAGACGGAAGATTGAAGAACATAGGCATGCAAGCACATAGTCTGATATAAATATTATTTTTGATAGCGGGGAACACTTAACACATAATATTTCTCTTTGTCAGGTTTGTATTGTGATTTTGAAGTTGAAACATTCCTCAAGCATATCAAGCATGCCGAAATGGCTCTAGCTATCGTAGGTACTGTGATGACTTGTCCATAGAAAATAATGAGCGCCGTCCTGATTCAACACTAGACCTATGCGTACAAGCCTGGTGGCATAATCGAACGCTACACTACTATCGTGATCGAGGTACTCTTGTAGATTGACTGCGGTTTGCAAATCAATGTTTTCACGCAGCACCACTTGCAAAATCAACGACCTGGTGACGATACTGCGAGTGTGTAAGATTGCATTTTGAGATACTACATCTTCCCATGCAGCGGAAAACCGGCCGATATCAACATCAGCTGATAGACGAAAGGCTTGTTGCAGAGTGTTTGGTTTGTGCTTACATGTGGTTAGGACAATCAGATTAGACCCTTTCGAAGTGGGCTTACTGGGTAAATGTCCTCGATGCTATTAAGATTAAGATCCTACTCTCGATCGACTAGCTCTGGCATGTCAGTAATAGCCTTTTGAGAGTTTTACGGAGCCTCAGGAATGCTTTCGATGGCTGTGGTTAAAGTTAAGTTAGTAAGGAGGAGATATCGATAATCGAATATTTGCGCAACCCTGAGCTGAAGGTTTATTCTTTGAGCCGCAGCGAGTATTTTGATGGTAGAAATCGAATCTTCGCCACGATGATAGAAATTATCATTAACTACTGTACTCTCCTCACTCGTATCGAGAAATGCTTCCTAGATTATGCGACGTTTACGTGTACTTTTTCGTTGGTGGAGGGAGGTGGAAGGTTCTCGGAAATCTCATCTAGCGAGATACCTAGTTGCTGAGAGGTGAGGGTGGCGGGAAGATGGCGTAGAGACTTGCGGTCTAGTTTTTCTGAGGAAGGTACAGGTTTGGAGTCCAGAAAGGTATAATATTTTGGAATCGTTGCTGTTGGTAGGCAAGGAGATGGATAGTCGCCAAGCCGTGTACTTTCCGAGTTATGATGTTCTTTTCCCGGTTCTTTCTGATTTGCAAGAAAGCCACCAAACTTGGATTTTTCACCAAGATCGCTAGAGGGTAGGATCTCAATTATAACATTGATGAGGAAGGGTCCAGGAATAGCTTCTCGCATGTATGATTCTATCTCTCCAAGTTTGAAGCGTTGATGTACACGGAACAAACACTTGGGTCGTCGATCACGAGTTCACTCGTCATACAGATAGGGCGAAGTCTTTCGTGATTCCTTGGATCTACAATCCTGCATCTATAGTTGCATGAGTGACTTTAGTTGTCGGATAGTACTTGGATCTGTGTTTGGCATTGATCTAGTGTTGATCGCTGAGCGCGGACTACTTTTTGAGGGCCATAGCCATTTATCGGCGTCGCGCTATGTGCCCAGGTTTCAATATCGAGTTCCTTGAGAGAGTCGCCGCTGAGCAGCAGAGTTTTGAATGTCGGCAGAATATCCGGATTCACTAGTTTGGCTACCGTTGATGTGAGGTAGGCAAACGTCACGCCCATTCGGATCATGGATCCCGTTACATCGTTGAAAAGTTCATCTTCTGACGGTATGCAGCGGCAAGGTCCAGTAGTCGAGCCAGTAAGTTATGTCTGAAATGCTTAAATCAAATGTGTAGAAAAAAAATTGATCGTATGATTTGCTCAGAAATTTCGATGTATACAGTTAAGTGGTCATGCTGATATTGTTAGCATATTAGGCTTGGAGCTGTATATGGTATTGATCGACATACTTCTTGATCCCTGTTATGAAGTTATTCTCATTTTCATCTGGCACTATTGACAGGCAAGTGTCAAATAATGAAGATAAGGCAGCTACTTTTCTAATCGATTGTAAAACGTCAGTGAGAGGCAGAAATTGGCTAGGGTCTTCCTCTTGAAGTATCTCAAGATTTTCAATGATAGGCTGCGAGCTATTGACTTTGCTGCGATAGATTGCAGCACAATTCTCCTCGGTTATGAAGCCTGCGCTAATCATTCTAATAGTTTTGGGTTAAGGTGCCGACTTGCTGGACGTTTTCACTTCGGATGTATATCTGAGAGAAATGGGTAGACAAACCAGGGATCCTGTTCGATGGGAAGTTGAATTTTTCACAGGAAGAAAAGAGATTGGAATATCCTTCACACCACCGCTCGAAATCCCTGGACCGGGACCAGCGATGGCAAATGCCATGCGTTTATACAATGGTGAGTCCTGCACTGCGTAGGCACCGAGCAACATGACAACTGAGATAGCGTAACTCAGATAGCAAAAGCCTATAAGGGCGGTTGATATCTGCAAGATAATCATAGTGGCAGTATTTCAACAGAATATGAGGTATTTTAGGTAGTATAGGTTCGGCTCTGAGATACGTATATTATGTGGATATTACCAACATAACGGAACACTGGCTTGTATAAAATGTCTACATTTCGAGCTTCCTGAATAGGCGAGATTGTTGAATATCAGGGCAGGGTATGAGATAAGAGAGTTCAATCAATTATTCTTATATCTTGAGACACAAGATCAGTAGTGATATTTCACCCAATATTATATTATCAGGGAAAACATTTCGACCTCATCTGTCTGAGTCCTCTGCTTATGATTCGTTCTTCAGCAATCCGAACTCAATTTGCAACATCTAAATCCTTGAATAAAAATGAGCAACCGAAAGAGAGCAGGCTGAAGAGTACACAAACACACCTGTAATTGACTCAGCACCAATTACAACGGACGAATCAACTGAAAAGAACCTAAACCCTTACATTTCCACGACCCCGAGAACCTCCAGATTCCAGAAATTGAGACTGGACGAGAAGATTTACAAATAATCTACCCAAGTGGCCTGGAGTTCGGTGTTATATCGATATCTTTATGTCCATGTGTGTTTTTTGTTGGTCTTGTAAGTTATGGTGACCCACGTTCCTTCCAACTCGCATGCCGACGTGGGATTTCAAAGAATGCTACCATTCTCACTACTGCAATACCACGAATCACAGACGAATTCCACTCGGTAGCTGATGTTGGCTGGTACGATGCTGCATTGTGAGTTTTTCGTGCGTTTTCATGATGAAGACATATTTACTTAAACACTACAGTCGACTGACATCGTGCATATCTCAATTATCCCAAGGCAAACTCTTCACCCAGTACAATGTAAAATGGGTATTCCTTATCAACATAGTGATATTCGAGATTGGAATTCTCATTTCCGGAGTGGCCCCAAGTTCTGTGGTTTTTATCATTGGGCGGGCAATAACAACTCTCGGCTTCTCTGGAACTAACCAAGGTTGTGTAATGTATAAAGGCTAGCAACATATCCATCCTATTGAACTTTCAAGGCTGATCATGAGGTTTTTAGTATTATTGCCATGTCAAGACCACTGAAGCAGCGGCCAACTTACATCGGGCTCATCAGTGCAAGCGAGTTCTTTGCGACTGCTGTCGCTTCTTTACTCGGCGGAGCACTCACTTCCAATTTATCATGGAGATGGTGTTTCTATATCAATATCCTTGTTTCTGCTGCTCCGGCAGCAATTCTATTGTTCTTCTTGAAGCTGCCAACTCAAGTAGCCACACGCCACATTAGCCAGAGAGAAAAGCTTCGCGAGCTTGACTCTCTAGGATTCACTTCCTTCGCACCTGCAGTGCTTTGCTTGCTGTTGGCTCTGCAGTGGGGCGGTTCTGCTTATGCTTGGAGTAATGAGCGCATCGTTGCGCTTTTCATTCTATCGCCCATTCTTTTCGGGATGTTTTGTTTTATTCAATCGAGAAAGCAAGAAAAGGCCATGCTGGTCCCATACATTATTATGAAAGGCACCATTGCAGTAGCATCAATATACAGTCTCTCCCTTTCAGCCTCTCGTGCTATCGCCGAGTACTATGTAAGTCAGAATGACTATTCATGACAATTAAAGACTAAGTCGCTCGCTAGCTTCCAATATGATTCCAGACAGTTCGAGACGCTTCACCACTGCAATCGGGGGTCAACACGTTACCTCTTGTAATATCGGTGCTTATCTTCGCGGTCCTCTCTGGTCTAATCACATCTTACACAGGATCCTATAAGCTGATTATGGTTCCCGCCAGTCTGTGCGTGGTTACAGGAGTGGCGTTAATGACAACTCTCGGTATGTATTCGTCCATTCATTCATAAATGTCTGCTATTATCGCTAACTTTGTAGCAGTCGAGTCAAACGAATAGCTTTGCATTCGAATCTTCAAACTTCAAGAGCCGCGCCAAAATTCGATCCTGATCTCCCTTCTATATCCATATTCGAAAAGAAGTACGGAGCATTTACGAGAGATCAACACTAGAATGCCTGAGGTGAGGTTTGGTTTTTCATATCCATATCTACACGACCCTGACACGAAGAACGTAGTTTGGTGAAACTATCGGAGGGGATGATGAAGAAGTTGAACACCATGATTTCAAATCGATCAATGATGACAGATGTATATCATGGTGCGATGGAGAAGATAAGAAAGGTAGCATAATCATAAATTCAGAAGGAGAATACTGCAAACGCTACTCGACAAAAGAGCCCAAAGAAGATTTTATTCTCTACAAAGGGCAAGCGGTACTTGTGATGGACACATATTTCAAATTGACAACCGCAAGGGCTAGCTAAGACAAGGTTTGATAAACATCTAGAGCTGCCTTCCAATTCAACATCGGTTTCGTTGCGCAACCACTTTCGTTACCGATCATACCAAAAGCTTAGTTGCAATCTACTTTCTCCTTTGCCTCCTCCTCTTTTCCTGAATCGCTGGTTTTCATAAGATATTTACTCAATGCGTTCCTCGAATCTTCGAACCTAACGGTTCTCTCAAAGATAGCTCGTCTATTACACAAATACAAACAAGGCTTCAATACAGATTCCTCGTCTAATTTCATGTGTAACTGCAAACCGACAGTCTCAGTAAATCTTCCATATACCTAGCTTTTCCTATTAAAGATATTCAAAACTATATACTCCAAAATATAGATCCATATTAAACACTTCAAAAACCATCGCTAAATAATCCCTTTAGATATTTATATCTTTTAGAATATTGTTCCTAATCGCTCCGCTTTGTTCATCAGCTATAATTTTATTTCAAAAGAAAAAAGGATTAGATTCTAATAATGAATCAATACATAGTCATTTGCTATATGAGCTGCGCTAGCTAGCCCATAGGAACGCAGATTGTAGAGCTCATCTCCAATACGTACAAGTACTTGAAGCCTATCCTAGGGACTCTCTCACTTCTCAATTGATAAAGTTTGACCAGAGTAAGACAGTCGACTACCCCGTAGCCTTGCGCAAACATGAATAAGAATCTATGTAGTGACACCCGAGGGGGAGAAATATAGCACTAGCCACCCACCCATCACATGAGAAGAATCTGTCATGAATATGTTCTGCTCTACCAACATGGAAAACTTTCGTAACTCCACTCAGACTTACTCACATTTAAATTCACACAACTCACAAAAAACTGGCCATATAATTTATTTATTGATATTATTCATCTTAACTGTTTTCTGCTCATTTATATGCATGACCAACCACCCATCCCCATACGAGAAGACGTAAAGCCCACCGAATCTCTGTCCGCCATGAGCAGTAGAGTGAAGGGAGCAGTTCTTACCAAGGTACCACCCACCACCCAGCTCTGTAGCCAGCCATGAAACCATATTGCAGCAGGCGCTCAGGGTATTAAAAGAGATCTTTTACAAGACATACTGTGATGTATGCAAACAACCAATCAATCCATAAAAACAAGGTATCCCATGTGAAGACTCAGGTTAACAGGTATAAAAATCATACTGATTATATGATATGATATGATAAGCCTGCCACCCCTTTCACAAATCAACCAACGTACCAAATATCACTCGCTGCGTGTCATGCCATGCTTTTTTTCGCTTTCCAATCCATCGATTAGATTGAGAGATAGATGAGACACCCATTAGCGTGAAAGCCATCATGCCATGATGTCTATATCAAAATCTTCAGTGTTCCTTCCATCCTATATTGCCCCTAACCATCATAACTCTTCTTCATCGACATCCTTCATTGCTGGTTCTGGGAGGGGAGTCTGTGCAGCTTCGGCCGCTGCTACAATGTCAAGATTGCTCGAAAATCCTGCTAGTCGTTTATCTAGAGACTCATCACCGAGGAGACTAGCTCTGTGTTTCTTCATAGGACTACCAACAAAGTTGTCGTCTGTGAGACTCTTTCCGAACACATTGTTTGGTAAAGTGAGACTATTGTTGTCTCCATCCGTAGCGGGAGTAGCGTTGCCAGATGTATTGCTGGCCAAGTTAGGTGATCTGCCCGAGTTGTTATTCAAATTCCCAGCGGAATATTGGCGTTTTAACTTCAAACAAGATTAGCATACTTTCTTACAAGTACAATGGGATTACCATACCTTGATTCGTCCAACCCCGTCTGCTAATTCTCCCTGAAACTTTGCATCTTCGGTACTCAAAGTCTTATTTGGATCGTCCTTATCATCCACTTCTTCCATCTTTACTCCGTTATCGTCATCATCTTCATCGTCGCTGTCCTCCATCATGCCGACATTTCCATTACTCTTCTTTTTAGATTTGCTGCGCTTTGCGGAGGTGTCGTTATCTCTAAAGGCGGAAAACCCAACGGTTCCAGTATTACTCAATTTGCCAATATTTCCGAAGTCTAACTGTGTTGACCTTCGTTTCGCGGCACTGCTGTTTATCTTTTCCTGCTTTGAGTTTGGTAGAATGCCCATCTTTTGCAATTGACCTGTGGTGACATGTTAGAGAGTGGTAATGTGATAGAAAACAGAAATAAAGCTTACGTTGACCTCGATAGAAGAATGTAAAGACCGCGAAAGGCTTATCGGGCCCATCTATTCCGGTGACAGTTTGTGTGCTAATAGATTTTGGGTCCAATGTCTTGGGCTTTGCAAAACTTGTGGTATGATCAACATCTCCCTCTCCTCCTTCTCCATTGCCTTTCTCTCCTTCTTCATCATCATCATGAGCATCAAATTGTGGGGAGTATTCGCCGCGTTTGATTTCTCCAGATGCGAGTACCCGAAACATAGCAACCTTGATTTGTCCTGCAGCTTCCGGTAGAGCATCATCGTCGTCCGAGTCTGAGCTGAAACTTTCGTCATCTGAAACGGTCTCGACCGGCGATTGGTCATCTGCTCCGTATCGTAGAACCTCTCGTGCTGTGGATCTCTTTCTTGGTGTCATCATGTCTGCGAGTTCATCATCACTGCCAATTTCCTCCTTTCTGCGCCTACGACGCTTCTCGAACTTTTGTCGACGCTTTTCGATTCTTGCAGCGGCATCTTGTCCGTCAAGATCAAGTCCGTTCAACCATCGCTCTAGTCCAACCTCGCGGAACAAAAACTCTCGCTCAGCCAGTCCTCCTCCTTCAGAGTCTGGAACCTGAACCCATCGAGAATTTACCCATGTCTCTTCGCTTGGTCGTAAAAGAGTGGCCACTTCTTCCTTTGGTCTGCCATCAAAATAGATATATGCAGCGATTGTTTCATTTTCTGACTTGGTGATTGGTATGTAGGGACCGACTTGACCAGTGAAATTTGTCTTCTCGCCAAAGCCAGGCAAGCCAGTGACGGTTTGAGGCTGAGGATAAGGGTTCGCGGGTGTTGCTTTCGGTGTGCTGTAAGGAATGGGAAGACCTGGAGTTAACAATGTAATTGAGATAGCAAACTTTGCGGCTTCAGGTTTATTGGTGGTCGAATCGCGGGGAATTTTGGGTTGAGGGACGGGGATGTATGTGTTAATACGACTGAATCTTGATTGTCGAGTTACTCCATATTCAGGGAGCGGTGATCCTTCAGCGTGGACACTGACAGCAATACCTTTGAAGCAAGGCATTTTACCTCACCGATACAATATGGCAGACGAAGCTGCACAGCCTGATATGTATAACTTATAAGTATTGTAATTTGTAATGGTATTGGTATTGGTATTTGTGTTGAACGTGGGGGATGGATTAAAGTTGAAGAGGCCGAGCTTTTGGAAAGCTCCGTCCGATTGTAGGTGATAATAAGGATGGGATGAGGAGGCTGAAGGTCTGGAAATGGAAATGGATGGTTGCCTCTTTAGCGTGCGTACCTTGTTACTGAAAGCCTTGTGCGTTCGCTGCGTTTTGAATGTTCTGGGTGGAATTGGGGAGTACAAGCAAGCCAAAGCCAATGGTTGTAGTATTTGTATTTGTATTTGGAGTTGGAGTTGGACTATCGTAGAAACTCCTCGACTTTTCCTCGAGTTACAACTTGGTGCGATTGTATCTCTTTGAAGAGTGAGTTTGAGTGAGGATGAGTATGGTCGAATGGTAGGTAAGTTGAATTTCATGTGCTACCAATACTTAGTTAGGCAAAAGAGATTCCACTCCAGAAAACAATGAATTTCTCAAGTTTCGCTAGGCTGAAGAACAACTGCACAGTGCAGACCAACAACAAGTCAAAAGTATCTATCGAAGAAAAAGAAGAGGGGCATAAATATGACTTTTACCAACAATACCATGTAAAATCAATAAGTCACAAGTGGTCATCACGAAAGTATTGATGTGTTGGAGGGAAGACAATACTACTAGGTAATAAATCACACCGCTTCATCATTTTGGACATGGAAAGAATCTTCAAACGGAATATTGTTTCTCAAAAGGTGATCGGTGGTCTGGCTTGTGGTCACAGTGAATCACTTCAGTTCAATTCAAATCCCGTGAACATTCATTTGGATGCGAGTATCCCGAGGTTCTTTCAGACAAAACTTGAGCCAAAGATTTATTATTGCTATATATAAAATAGAAAATATTGAAAGATTCAATGAGAAATCCTGAAATGACCATGTTATCACACCCTGGTGATTGATTCAATATCACAAACGAATCGTCCATATTTACTATGACACCGCCTCAGTATGCCATGGCTTGCTGGTTGGAGCTCTAAACATATGCTGTGATGAGCGGCAATCTGAATTATGCTCAATGTTGAAAATTCCTAAAAGTCTTGATAATTGTTAGCTGAATCCCTGTGAAGATTTCTGCAACGATAATGATGAAGGGCATTTGATTGATAGAGTCAGACTGTTGAGCTTGATATATTGATTGAATCGACATGGTTATTCAGAAGGCCGTTCTTAATGGAAGGTTTTGTCATCATACAAAAAATGCTGGGAAGTGTGCGCATGCGGTAAAGCAAAAGGAAACCATAAACATACCATGAGGATTAGACTAGACGCTGTCGAGAGCGGCTGTTGTAAGTAATTAGATCAGTTCAAAAAGATAGAACGTCAACATTGAATCGAAGTCAAATCCCTATCCATATCCATATCAATCAGAGAATGCTCAAGACTTTGTATGATTGAAGAAGATTATGCAGGTAAGGTCGTTGAATGGAAAAGAAAAAGCATTGAATGGATTTAAAGGGAAGGGAAGGAATAAATTTTCGAGCTATTTGGCGACGTGACTAAGCTATATTAGGTAAAGCGTATGACAGCCCAATTGTGGTGTCCACTCTACTGAAGTGTCTGGTATTCAAAATATCCATAGAAACCCCTCTATAATTTCCCCTCCAAAACAAGCAAACCAACATCACAAAATATCCTTTCTAAATAACTTATTTTAAGAAAGCCTCATAAACTTAGAGCAAGATGGCCGGTACGTTAATTACTTCACATTCCGAGTATCTCACAGATAGTGCCTATACGTTCAAATTCTACTTGATGCTATCCATTCGTTAATTTATCTACCTATTCATGATTCGAGGCTAACTCCTATTTTATAGACTTCGAAAGTGTCGCAAGTAAGTTTATGACATATTCCATCGCCGATGAACCACGGCAGCTAGCATCAAATCGTCCCGAAATCTGTGTGCGATGATGCACGGCTGTTCTAAACTTCTAGCAGCGGCATGCTGACAAGGCCAACCATTAATAGAGCAATTCACCGAATACTACTACAACCAGTTCGATGCGGACAGAAAGCAGTTGGCTCCTCTTTACGTCAGTGCCAACATTGCCCCGGAAAGATTTCTTGCTAATAAGCTTTCAGCGTGACAACTCCATGTTGACTTTTGAGTCCGCTTCTGTCCTTGGAGCCGGTGCCATCGTAGAAAAACTTGGAGTATGTTTCACTCCCTTCTTATGCACATCAATACTAAAATAGCCTGGTACAGTCTCTTCCTTTCGAGAAGGTCAAGCACGCAGTCTCAACTCTCGATGCGCAACCATCCGGAGAACACGGTGGAATTTTGATTTTGATCACAGGAGCCTTGTTGGTAAGTCGAAAATTTGATGAGTTGCGCGCAAATAGAAGTCGCTGTGGCATGATTCGTATCAGACGCTGACAAGAATCTTTTCAGGTCGATGAGGAGCAAAGACCTATGAACTACAGCCAAGCTTTCCAACTTATGCCAGATGGAGCTGGAAGTTATTTCATTTTCAACGATGTTTTCAAGTTGGTTTTCGGATAAATTATTAGCTGGGAATGTTGGGTAAATAGGAGGTTAGTGGTTGATGAGAGGAAATGTTGGTCCATTTTGCAAAACTTTATACCAGGCCTTCTATCGAGAAGCAAGGAGAGGCAACGAAGTTATCAAATATAAAAAGACATAAAAAGGCACAAGTTCGATGATCCTCATATTTCCCCTCCATAACGTATGCATCTGCCGATCAAAATATATGTGGAGAGATAGATATCGTAACCCTTCCCCCCCAATAGTGTTGCACGAGCTTCAATGTTACCTGAGTGCGATGAGGTAGAAAACCTCGAAGATAGTGTATGAATTCGCCATATCTTCGTAATCATTTCTTTAGGCAGCTCTATTAAAGGTTCACATTTTCCTTTTGTTCATTTTCCTGTCCAAAGAATATCTCAATGGGACTCAGCCTCATTCAATCATTTCAGCCTTTGTGTTTCTTCTTAAGGACTAGCGCCATACACAGCTTCTCGAACTCACAGAACACGAAACAAGTACTCCGTAAACTCGTAGGAATCAATTTATCTTCAAATTTGAGACTCATACAACTCTTTAAACCGGTTCCCCATCAAAGCTCAAGCGAATTAACTCCGAAATTCTCTTACGAGTCTATTGTATCTTGAAACGATTTATGTGTTCGCAAAGAAACGAAAACAAACATTGAAGAACTCACGAACTATTGTACGGCTCTCCACATCAACTTGAACTTCACCCATACATACCCATACATCGACCCATTCAAATATTCATCAACCAAACCTCGAATAAAGCAATCATGACTATCGCAGAGGAGTTCGCAACGCGCAATTTCAGTATGGATTCCTTTCCTAGAGCTTGTATGACTTTAACTAACCGCGCTTCTAGGTATTTATGGTCAATGGTAAGAACATGCGACTCTTCCGAGCTCTCCATCAATCCCACTCAAGCCATTATATCATGAAGCATTATCGAATATGCATGTCAAATGTTGACGCAGCATATACGCTTCTTCCTCGGATGTGCTGGAAGTTGAATGATGAACTGTTGAGGATTGTGGAACAAAATTTTGAATTAGGTCTGACAGAATGATACAGGACCGGAGTTGTATGCATACTTCTATGCTTTGCCCTAGGGATTGCGAACCTTTTCCACATTAGCTTGCTTATCATCTTTAGCGCGCTATGCCTGTGAGTTTCAATCTCTCTATTTACTCCATGTGTAAAAACTAACAACTTCATTCTAGTGTGAGCTCTTTCCTCATCATCTTCATTGAGATTCCATTGCTTCTTCGAATTTGCCCCACATCCTCGACCTTCGACACCTTCATGCGCCGATTCACAACCAATTATATGCGCGCTGCTATCTACATGGGAATGGCTATTGTTCAATGGCTCAGCATCATCATTGCAGCATCAAGTCTCATCGCTGCGGCTGCCCTTCTCACCATTGCAGCTGGTTTCTACGCATTGGCTGGTCTTAAGGGACAAGGATTTGTGGGAAGCAAAACACTTGGTGGTCAAGGTGTCGCGCAAATGATCCTATAAACTCGGAACATCGGTAAAGAAAAGAAGTGAATGGGAACAAGTGGTTCAAGTTTGAGCGGGAGGGTGAGGCTTGGTTGATGGACACGGGGGTGAAGCGCAACTCTGAGGTTGATTTACGAAACAGAAAATGGGAGAGCATGTGGGTTTGGTGCAAGGCGTCAAGGTTATGGCAGCGCATTGAGTATGGCTGTTTGTTTTCATGTTTGATTTTTTCAGCCCAGAAAAACCGGGAGTTTCTTGAGGCTTCAGATTCCCCCCTCTTGCGGGTGTACTTTTATACCTTCCATTTCTGATTTTCAAGACCAAAGCATCTCAGTGTATCTGGAATGCATCCTGTTCGTATATGCTTTTTTTTTTCTTCGTGGGGAGTTAGTCAGGAGATAATTAGGTATGGAATTCAATGGAATATGAGTCATGAAGCCTTTCTATGGAATTTTATTGAATGTTTAGTATAGTGACATGACTTGAGCTTGTGGGCGAATGTAAAATCGGTATTACGAGATGCTGGGTATGTTTTCCGCAGCAACGTGACAAGATTGAAGCTTTGTGTCATAATTACGGGATGTCATAATCAGGTATAGATCACGAGCTATTGTGAGGATCTGAATGACTTATGTCAGATGGAGCTGATATGCTTGTGATGCGTATGTCTGGCATTTGGGTGATGTGATGTTAACTGAATATGAGAGCTCAGAAGGGAGTTTTGGAGATGGGAATGTAAGAAAGATAATGAAGTGAAGGTACGGGGATAGAACTTCTGGAGGTTCGAAATGAAGGGTGTGTGTGTGGCTTATTAGAAGCTCCAAGGCCCCCGGTGAGCCGGTCGTATCGTGCTTGTAGTAACCCCTCTTCTTCGGAACAATAGTTCTTCCATTATTTTCATCACCCATCCAATCATATCATGAGATACAAGCCATACGCCATTTAAATCGGTTTGTCAATATGAATACAAATGGAAAGTTGACGATTGGCTATGGCTTAGTGGGGTGTTGAAATCAGTAGATACTGGCTGACTGGATAGAGTTGTGTTTGTGTCTCACCAAAACCCCACCTATGATATACTCCCGTGTCTGGACTTTGGTTTGAAGCATCGGTGAAGTGGTAAAGTAAAGTACAACGAGGTATTTGAGATAAGGATACATATGTAGACTTTGGAAGAGAATCATATATGTGTGTATAATAAGTCCGTATGAATAATATATTGAAGTGAAGTGTGCTTTGAAAACCTACAATCAGAGAAATTACACTTTTCTTGATCCCTTATCCTCTCACTAGTAACGATGACGATTTCTTAGACGTATTGCTTGGGGTAACATATCCTCCCAGAATCCTTGCTTAGCGTTCAAGCCGGACAATATCAAAGAACGCAAATAAACCAACTTCGTGTCGACTTGTAAATCTTGATACTTGACACCCCTCAATTCAAACAGATCAGCTTCGATGATTGAACTTTAACTTTTGAATGTCTTCGATTATTAGCACTTTGGTAGGTTTCCCCCATTGTCAACTACCCCTATCGAGTCGTTTATTCGCAGATTGTACAAAAAGCGTCGAAGCCGTCACGTCTACTGCTACTGTCTCATCTCAGTTTTAAGTCTACGGCGACGAGTTCGAGTTTCAATTGGCAACAGCTGATTGTGCTGTACAACATGCCACTTGGATCTCTCAATACTCCGCAAGGAGAGTCTACTTATTTGCTTGCAGAGCGTATCACAATCTACAATTCGCTTGATGAATTGACATTGCTTATTTAATATCTCGTTTTAATCCAGTTGACTATCACTCTTTTGGATAGCACACAACAAGTCCTAACATAAACAAGGAATCTAGGCCGTTACATTTCCCATCGATTTTCACAACCTCTATACATTTAACAAACATGTCGACGGCGACCCCACAAGTACCTCCCAGACCTAATAAGTCCCAGGAGCAGGGAAACACCTCTTCTGGTGCTCCCTCTCTTGGTAGCAACATACCACAAATCCCCCCAAGACCTGCCAATAGACGTGCCGATCGCTCCGTCTCCCCTGCTCGTGAGAGCTTCGCGCGATCTCCTCTCAATGATATGCCTATGCAACAAAACCATGGAAAGTCCTCCTTGTACGCCATGAACAGTGCCAATAGCTCAACAACAGAGCTCGAGGTCCCGCACCGTCCATCGAGTGTAGCCCTGCCTTCCATCGGCCAAGAGGGTAATGAATACGCGGAGGTTTTTGGAGCCTCGGAGGATCTCAGTTCATCGCCAACTCAAACAAGGAATGTTGCAAACGATTTGAAGCTTCACGCTCCTAAGCCTTCTCATCCCGAGTCCAGTGCCAAGCAGAGGGTATCTGCGGTCACTCGTACCGATTCTGGTCAAGCTGCTGCATATGGCATAGGCAAAGCTGGATATGATAAAGATCCTAGTTCTCGATCGTTGAAGAACAAATCGAGCTTTGCGAGCAACGCTTCCGCCGTCGAGCGTCCCCCATCGAGTACCGGTCATGAGGATGAGCATGGCATTCCTGAGATTGGTCAACAAGTTCCAATGTATCCAAATGCAGGGGACGTTCAAGCACCATCTCCATCCCCATACTCAACTCCTTACACCCCTGGTATTGGCTTCCACAACGACGGATCAAAGCGTCATCATGAGCGTAAAATAAGTGGCCGTGGAGCAGACATTCCACCAGGAAGTTATGGTCTTCACGGACATGGTATCATTCCACACGATCGCTTTGAAAAGGCTTACTATGAAAAGCACCCCGAGGTAAGTTAACAAGTGAATTCGGTCTGATTGCATGGAGTCTAGTTGTATGGACAAATTAAGATTACATAAGTATTTTATATTACTTAAGTGATCATCTCATCGAATAATACATGCTCTTGCAAGTTACATTCTAATCATATTTTACAGCTTTACAAGAAAGAAACTGCTTCTTATCACGGACCTCTCGGTGAAGGCAGAGCAGAATGGGCTATGAGCAGTGACGACTTGAACAGAATTGTTAGAGACACTGCTAGCAGAGGTGCTGGTCTTGGTAAGGTTTACGAATGTGCTATCCCCATATGATTCTAATCATGAATAGGCACATCTCCAGCAGTGATGAGTACTCCTAGTGAGCAAGTAGGATTTCAAGCTTCTGAGGAATATGCGTCTCGCATGTCCTCCCCTCGCCCACAATCTAGTGGACAACAATCCACTGGATACAACGTTGCGCATTCTAATGCATCTCAAACGCATGTTGAGTCGCCTTTGAAAAAAGAAAGCTTTCCTCTTGACGGTTCGAAGAAAGCCGAGTTTGAGGGTGCCTTGTCAAAAAGTCTTGATGATAAGTCTGAACGTGCCTACGAGAGTGAAGCGGATCCTGAAGATACCATTCACGTAGATGCCCCTAGTCGTCGTTCTAGTAGAATAATCGATCCGGCGAATGAATCAAGACCATATTCAGCGGCTGGTGGAGATGACGATGAGCTTCGTGAAGAGCATGGATACAGCGCTCCCATTCTTGCTTCTGATGAAGTTTCAAAAGAGAATTTTGGATACGAGCTACAACCTGCTGTCTCTCCATCATTTGAGCGCAGAAATATCTATGATGATCTAGGATATAACAGCACTCCCGGAAGCAAACAGACTAGTCGACCTGGAAGTATCCATACACCAGCAGTGCGAGCAACTGAGTCGGTTCCATTGGAAGAGGTACATGAATATGAGCCTCTATTCCCAGAGGATGAAAAATTAGGGGCCGAGGAAAAGCCTGAAACTGCGGCTGATCGTCTGAAACGCCCGGAGGTCCAAAAACGTAAATTCCCAAGTCAAGACGTGTGGGAAGACACGCCCAACAGCTTGCAATACACTGCAACAGTGTCCACACCCCAACTTCCAGATCCGGATGAAGATAATGAAGATGCTCACAAACGATCAAAGGAGACTCCGGAGCAAGCATTTGCCCGACGACAGGAGGAATTGGCCGAGAGAGAGAATGCAAGCACAGATAGTTTCTTGCACCCTCAAAAGAAAGTGTGGTCTCATAAACCACACCTTGCTGCCGAAACCCGACCCAAAAATCTTCAGCAGCGCTTCCCAAGTAGAGATGTCTGGGAAGATACTCCAGATAGTCTTCAATTACAGACAACTGTTTCAACGCCCCAGACCCCAGAGGTAGATCCTATTATGAGTCCATTGGATGAAAGACCCACCACTGGTGCTGTCGTGTTTCATCAAGAGAAGGCAGCAGCCGGCTTTGGCCTTGCGCAAGACGAAGGTCGCGCTACGACTGGTATCGCAATGACTAAACCAAGTATCCCTGCTCGACCCGTTAGATCAAATTCGCCTGATAAAGCCCAGCCAGTCATTCCTGATCGCCCCGCACAAAAGTCGAAGCAAGATGAAGCGGCTCCTCCTCTGCCATTAAAGTCCAAACCACAAATTCCAGCTCGTCCAGCGAAGCCTTCTACACGTGAATCGTGCGAGAACATTCCATTAACAACAGTCCTTTCGAATTCTTCCGCTAAATCGATAGGCTCTGATAATGGCGCTCCTGCCACTGTAAAGGCAAAGCCACCTGTCCCTTCAAGACCGGTTGGTGGCAAGATTGCTGCTCTGCAGGGTGGTTTCCTCGCAGATCTTAATTCACGCTTAAAACTCGGACCACAAGCTCCAAAGAAGGAGGAGCCTAAGCCAGAGGAGAAGGTTGAGGAGAAGGAAAAGGTTCCTCTATCAGATGCGAGGAAGGGTAGAGCCAGAGGTCCTGCCCGCAGAGCACCTGCTAAAAATCCTGCCCCTGTGTCAGCGGCCTCTCAAGAATCTTCTGCTATCAATTTAGCAAGCTCAGTACCCTCCACATTGTGGTACATTGATTCCGACGAGGTCTTGCACGTAGAATCCAAGACAGATTCTAAACCAGAGGAAGTCGCTATATCCGCTACAAAAGCAACTGAATCTTCAACTCCAACTCTTGCAACAAACATTGCTGGAGAAAGTCTCCATGATTCTACGGAAATCGCAACTGGTGCTGAGAAGAGTGCTTCTCCTTCTTCGGCTGAAAAGGATATCCAATCGGAACAAAGAGAGGAGACCAAAAAGGAAGAAGTTATCGCTGATGCTCATACCAATGATGTTGTACCGGAGAAATTGAGTGATTTACCTCCTGTCAAGGATGATGTTGGGGAGAGCATAACAGAAACTGAAGCGCAAGCTGAAGCTGAAACTGTGGCTGAGAATTAAGATGGTGTAGATAGAGAGGATATGGGGTGCATGGTATACGTAGTGTGCTAGGTAGTTGGGTTATCGGCGAGCTATAAGTCATGACATGCAGCGAGAATACTATTGAGAAATAAAAATCTAGTACTCTACTACTTTAACTTGTGTTGTTGTCTGCTGATTTTGTGATCGTTTCTTAGTTTGAAATCCTGAATTACTATATGTTGTGAAGACAAAACTTGTAAGGCTCTTGCGAACATAATAGTGATGACATTGTTCCAATCATGGCACGAAACTTTGGCCGATTTTCAAGTGGGTAGCTAACTCTTGGTGTGGCTCGGGAGATGTATGGAAAGGAGGAAACTTTATACTATTTTTTGTATGACGATTAGGAAGTCGGGCGAGGTGAAAATGAGGAGGAAGGAAGTTCTGTTCTTGTAAAAGAAGGTTGGGAGGGAGGGCGCTGGGAGATGGATTGGAGTGGGATGTGGGATGTGTGTTGTGTGTTGGGGGGTTGATGACTAATGGGGGGTATGGGGTGTGTAGGTAGGTATAGGGTAGCTATTTTTCTCTGGAATAACTTATTTCTTGCTTTTTTGCTTTTTTCTATTTTTCCTTTTGACGTGTTATCGGGTGGATAGTAGTAGTAGGTAGGGAAGTAGGTGCTTTGGGTCGTTGTAGTATAGGATGTGTATATGGTTGATATATGATATAAGTAGCTATGGAAATTTAGTAGATGTGGGGTATGTTGAAGAGCTGGTTTTGAAGAATTTGGTGTGGGAGTTTGGGTGGAGGGAGGGAGGGTTTAGGTTATGCCGTTTTGGATTTGGATTTGCTGGGTTGGGATGTGTAGATGAGGCGTGGAGGGTTGGATTTGCTGGGTTGTTTTTGGGGGGGAAGAGGGTGGAAGGGCTGGTTGTAGGGTATAGATAGTGTTTGGGCTGCTTGAATGGGGTAATGTATATATACATGCAGACCTTCGGATTGTTGAGCAAGGGTGTTCACTATTATGTGTATACTCTACTTCATGAGATTGGTATGGATTTGAGGATAAACAAAATTAGGGATAAGCGATTTGGGGAAGCGGAATGAATGAAGTGTCCACTTTCTTTTATACGGTAGGAAATGAGGATTAGATGTCCGAGAAAATATGAGTTCTTTTTAGGTAATTCATGGGGAATGATGATTTGAAATGAAATGGGTGAGTCGAGATCGACATGTCGATGTATTCTTGGTCGCTTAGGTTACTTGGGTTTATATAAAGTTTGGAGAATGGAGTAATAAACGGTGATTGGCGATGGGCGATTGGTGAGTTGTGCTGGGTAAGTAAACGCACTAATTTATGATCTTACATTATTCTATGATTCTAGATAGATTGGAAATAGATTGGTTGGTTATCATGCCGTCAAAATTGCCACAGACGTTAGATATGCAACAAAAGGATATGGTTTTAACGCTAGGGTATGGGATGTGGCGCCAAGTGGGCCGTAGATGGGAAAGTGCAGGAAGGTTGGAAGTATTGGTTGGTTGGTTGGTTACCTTAGAATGCGCGTTGGGTACGGTCGCCGGATGGGATAAGCAGTTGTGGTTTCTTGGTGGATGTGGTGTCTGAGATAGGTATCAATAGTATTGGAGCGGTGGATGTTCTCTGGGACTTGACTTTGAAGATATCTACGAGGTGGTTCGTTGTCGATTCATTGTCGGAGATGAAGTGGCGGGTGCGGATTGATATTTCTTCTTGGAAGTGTGAGAATTATGTATATCGATTAACTTCACGGGCTCTCGCAATAATGAGCCGTATGTAGAGCTTTCTGTAGTCATAGGGTAACTTGAAGGCTAGCCTATCAGTAAGTTGTGAGACAGAAGTAGCGACAAGTGTAAGTGATTGGATATTCGTAGGCTGATGGGTTCCAAGGTAAAATCGTAGTTCTATTCTGCCTTCACCATATCGATCTATCGAAAAACAAAATTCTTGAGATCTTCCTAGTCAGTGACTTGGTTAATATTAGTCTGGTCCTTATGCTTGAAATCTAGAGAGTTCATGTACTAATTGTAAGCTGTTGAAGTCCTACTTAGCCACTGCATTTGGTTATTTAGTATTTTCTACGCGATCTGTCCTATCAGCTTTGAAGCTTGTGGATATAGAAATTGAAATTAAGAAAGTACTATTGCAAAGCTTGTTCTTATCTATATTTAGCTAGCTATGTTCTTCCAACTCGAAATGATTTTCTTATCTTACGACTTTCTTAGCGACAATATCGTACTCTTTGGAGATATCGAATTGCTTAGAGACAAGGAATTACGGAGCCAGTGTAATTCAATTTTCGAGTCGTATTACTACCAGCCGGTGATCTATTGGTTACTATCAGAGAATTTTTGAGTAAGACTAATGTTGATAATGCTGACCTAAGTTTTTGACTTTCAAGTTTTAGCGAGGTTTTGGATAGCTCGCTAGTTTAGCCCCTTTTAAGCTTTTCAATGCCAAGAGTACGACTACCAGATTTTACTCCCCAGGTTCGAATGAGACTGTTTTGAGGAAATTAATATAATGGCATGTTATATTTTGGAAGCTAAGTTTGTGATGTTTAAAGTATATCAGTGATCTGAAAATGGTGCTAAGTTTCTTGAATTCTGGGCATGGCAATCAATGACAGGATGACCATGACGTTAGGTAAGAATGAGCCCATGAACTAGCGGGGTTTTGCCTGGGGAAACTCTTGACAGGTGTGGAGATTTATTGACTAGACAGGATCGATGGCTTGGTGTGAGCTGGTTAGTTTAAGTAATACTTAGGGTGAACTAGTCGTCTTCGAAGCTTAACTTTTTGTAGTTGTGTAGGCACGTCATGTATTTTACCAGTTTATATAAATACCGTCTTCGCCCCGGCTCCAGAGATCAGAGACCAAAATACGATTACCTAGAAATATTTATCACATCCTTCTCGCGCTTTAATTGGTTCTACAAAATTCTCTTGCAATTTTTCTTATCCCCTCTCTTCTCAAAAAAAGCCTCGGGGTATGCTATAGTTCTTGCTATGTATACAATTAGGACCCATAGCTAATGGTAATACTCAGATCAATCAACCACCTCAACATGATTACAGGTGTGTCCTTGCTGCTACCCTTGGCAGTAGTTTCACTTCTTCCAGCAATCGCTCTCGGTGCCGACTATGGCGACGAGGTCAATCCCGCTTCCCAATTCAAAACGAAGACTATTCCAGATGGAACAATGCCCCCATTGCAGGATTTCGGAGTGCTCGCAGAGAATCATTTGAGTTCTTGGGATGATGAGAATCTTACGCTCACTACTAATGTTTTAATACCCGGAAATTTTCTGGCAAGGAAGCACTTATCAAATGGGTATGTTCTTCTAATCATCAGTTCCTTCAGGACTTTCAAATTACAATAGTCTGGAAATTGGTTCGAAAAAATGATAGGATCTATATTTTAGATTTAATTAGAACATTTAAATTGTTGAATTGTCGACGTTATCTCCCGCATTGAATTACTGTGGCTTCGTCCAGTCCGATACCCCGAACTATTGTTCAGCCTGAAATTTTTCATCATCAACGTAGTACTAGTATTATACACCATGACGTATGCTAATTCTATTGCCATAGATACATTGGCCTTGCTGAGGCCTCACTCGGCCCATTCTTTGAAAGAGACTTCAATCAAACACATCGAGATGGAAAGCAGCCAACGGAACCATGGCCGGAATTCAATCCTCGTCAGAGTTTTGCAGGTATTATTGGATTTTTCGACAGACAACACAACACGACAGAAACGAATTATCCTGAACTTCTCGATCGAGGTGATGAGAGTGTTATCTCTGGTATACCTCACTTCACTGATATATCTGTCACCGCTGGTGATCAGGTACTCAATTCTACTGTGGATTTGGCTACTATTAATAATTTTAGCAGTTCGCTGAATTTGATGAATGCCATTGCAAGTTGGAGCTACACATGGACTCCAAATTTGAATGGTAGTTCAAGCTTTGGGATTGAATATATGGCGTTTATTAGTGCTGCCAGAGTCAACGTCGCGGCTGTTCAGCTTACTGTCACACCATTGAATAACAAAACAGAAAATATCACTATAACCGATATCTTGGATGGTAGAAGTGCTGTTAGGTCATTTCTGGGACTAAAGGGCCATGATGATTCTTCGTCTATATATGTTTCGAATCACCCAAATGGTCTTCCAGATGTTTCGGCATGGACGTACTCTACAGCAAAGCTTTCAAACAGCAGCTTGAGCTCCGTCTCGCCAAGGTCTATCGTATCTCCTAACAATAATTCTATGACTGTTGGACAAGAATGGAATCTCGAGCTACAATCTGGACATCCAATCACCTTTCAAAAATTCGTTGGAATTGCTTCTACAGACAAATTCCCCAACGCACAAACGACAGCAGCTCAAGCATCTGTTAATGCAACAAGGGATGGTTGGGATGTGCTTTATACTGAGCATACTGCAATCTGGAACCAGCGTATGCAAAGCAAAATTGTTGATTATAGGAACCCTACCACCGGTCGTCTACCAGAGAACGATACTACGGCAGAGGTCGATCAAATAAATGCTGCTGTTAGTCGATACATGATCCTTCAAACACTCCTTCAAGAAGATGGGAATGATCTGAACGACAACGGCATTGGTGTTGGAGGAATTACTGCTGATCCATACGCTGGTATGACTTTTTGGGATATGGATATTTGGATGTTCCCCGGTATAGCTCTGACTGATCCTGATTATGCACTTCAAATGATCAAATACCGTGTCAAGATGTATTCTCAGGCCAAGGCCAACGCTCAAGAAGATTATGTACAGGAAAAGTACAAGTTCGATAATGATTCAATCTTGTATTCTTGGACTTCAGGCAGATATGGCAATGCAACTGGAACGGGTCCCACGTTAGATTATGAGTATCATATCAATACCGACGTTGCAAAGATGATCTTGGATTATAGAAGAATCACTCGCAATGAGGAATACTTTAGAGAAGAATTATGGCCAGTAGTCGAGAGTGTAGGGCATACTATTGAGGGAGTATTGCAGAAGGATGACCAGGGAAAATGGAACATCTGGAACATGACTGATCCTGATGAATGGACTAACCACGTCAAAAATGGTGCCTTCACTCAAGCATCTTTTTTCCAAATCATGAACTCCATCATTTCAATTAAGAAGGAATATAATGAAACCATTCCACCCACTTGGCTCGACATAGCCGAGAACATTACTATCCCCGTTTCTTCCTCTGGCATTACTCTGGAATACGAAGACATGGCCTCCAATATTACCGTCAAGCAAGCTGATGTAACTTTGATGCTCCACCCTCTTTCTCTTCCAGAGTCATCCAAGCCTATAAACTATACTCTCGAAAGGAAACAGGCCGACCTTCAATATTACACACAAAAGCAATCGCTCCATGGTCCAGCCATGACATTTGCCATTAATACCATTGCTACACTAAGATACGGACGTTCTGGCTGCTCAGCCTCTACTTACAATAAGATGGGTGTATTCTCCAATCTTCGTGCACCATGGTTCTTAATGAGTGAACAAGCCAACGATGACACTAATGCAAACGGAGGATACCCACCCGCTTTTCCATTTTTGACCGGTCATGGCGGCACGATGCAAATCGCTTTCTATGGATATCTAGGTCTAGATTCTTCGCAAGACATTCTCACTATCCAACCAACTCTTCCTCCACCCAAACAATATCTCAAGCTTAATGAGTTCAATTGGGCAGGATATATATTCAGTGCTAGCATGAATAACACTCACACGAACATCACATTCACTGGAGTCTCGCCTTCTTCCTCCAACCCCCAGAACACTACTTCAGTTCCTATTGTTCAAAATCTCCCTGCATCTCGCCATCCACCGTTCCAGTCCTTGCTATCTCTCAATCAGACACTCACATTAGAAAATGACATGTATTGGCAAGATCTCACCACGTCCAATAATCTAATTCAATGTCTTCCCATCATCGGATCCGATTCCACCGAGCTCAATCGATGGCCAGAGAGTGTCAATGACGGGGACGTAGGAACGAGTTGGCAGCCCGAGAATACTAGCGGGTCTTCTATCTCTATCGATACAACCTCTGTGGCAGGCGAAAGAATAAAGACAATTAATGTGGTATGGGGACAACGAATTCCTACCAGCGCTTTTGTTACAATTTTCAACTCCACCAATGCTTCAGAAGGAGAAGAATTTCTCCTTCCTCTTCCTGATCTTGATGCTCCAGATATGGCAAATGTTATCGCAGTGAGAGATATTGATGCGCTGGCAGATGCTATGTCTTCAGATGATTCTTCAAAAGGCGATGGGGAGGAAAATTCTGGGGATGATGTAAAACTCGAAGAAGGTCACAAAACGACTTACACACTACCTGATGATAAAATTGTGTATATGGGAGATACAGCTGTGCTTCAGATTGCTGGATGTATAGGCACAACTTGCGGAGTTTTTGGAGATGAGGCAGGGGCTACTGTAGAAGAGTGGGAGATAATTGGTGAAGCTTAGAGTGATGTTGTGATTTTGGAGTTTGGTTTGGGTTTGGGTTTGGGTTTGGGGAGGGGGAGTTTGGTGTTCATTACAAATTAGGCCACACTTTTAGAGGAGCGGGATCTTTGATGTTTAATGTTTAATTCTGATTATTCTCCTGTTTAATAATGTTTAATAATAGTTGGCTGATCTAATCATTCCTCTTGGTTCTGTTGTTTGCAAGCACTCCCGAGGTCGATTATGTACATTGTCCTGCTCAACTTTTAGTGACAAGTGAATTTACTTCTGGCCGCTGCATACCATTGAAGTCAACCTACTTAGCACTAATCCCACCATAAACGGAAGCAGTTTTTAACACCCACAGATATTGTTATTATATCGTCCATTCACAGCGAGTAAGACGGCGATCATCGATGACTTGGCGTCCTTTTAAGACAATCTAAAACATGCGGCAAAGAGCTCAAATTCACTATCGAAGATCTGAAAATAAAAAGCTGCATAGTTAACAAATCATCTTGGTCTGAGTTCCACAAGCGGAATTCATTGTGGTAAGCACAAAAGCAATCATAATTCCAAAAATCGTTACAAAGTCATCTACTTCTTTTCCAACCTATTCGTCGAATCCCAACCAAACATGCAAACGCAACACATACGCTCATTGGATGATTAGTATTTGAGATTTGATCATTAGACACATTAATTTTTCGCAATCCGGTTCTGAACCTTGGATAGCCCCTTTCTTCCATGCGGCCAGCCGACGGCACGTAAATTTTAGCGGGGCTCATTGGCTGGATGCTAATAAGTTACACAACACAATCTAAAGACTGGCTAAGTAGCAGACATCACATCATGAAAGATTTTCCTCGGTGACGAATTGATATAAAATACCTGCTGTAGAATCTAACTGCAGCATGGTTTTAGCTATGGGTCTTTACACTGGTTTTGACATGGTTCCACGCCTGTCCGAAAGGACAGAAGACCAGAAGAGCTGGGAGTGCTTCATCCAAGCCGTCAAAGAACACTACCAAAATGATGATTTGGTAGAAGCAAGACAGAACTGTATCATTGTCAAGGTAGACCGGGATCTTGTTCTTCCACCTGAGGGCCATAGGCTTCTGCGATTCTATTCGAGTATTTCTGTTCGTCATGCCCCTGGGGTCGAGGGCTATCTTGATACGATAACTAAGATTGCAGAGGAACATTTTGGCTCTCGGGCTCATACTTGGGAGGAGGAACTTGGGCAGGAAGGGTTTTATAGATGGGTCGATATTTATGATTCACGGATTATTTTGAGCAGGTACATCAGTCTTGGTCTGCTTGCCATCAGTTGTATTTTCTAATGATATTTAGCCGGGTGAACCAGATGCTTCGGCTGTCATTGATGATTCAAGTGTATCCAGTAGACATTCAAAGACCGGAAAGGACTCAAAATTGTTCAGTATCGAACAGGTGCCAGGAAAGGGGAAAGGCCTAATAGCACGCTTCAATATCGAAAAAGGAAAATGAATACTTTCAGAGAAACCCCTTTTGGAAATCAGGACTATCTCAGCTTCAGCAGCATATCTCGAAAGTAACATTTCCCAGAAAGTTAAGAAGCTTCCAAAATCAGAGCAACAGCAATTCTTTTCACTTCAAAACAACATTTGTAAGGGACAACCGTGTTCCGGTATTCTGGTAGCGAATGGTATAGGTCGCGGTACTGGTTCTACAGTTGTTGATATATTTCCTACAATATGCCTCATCAATCACGACTGTCTTCCCAATACACATACCTACTGGAACCCCAAGACAGAGTGCAGAAATATTCACGCAGTGTGCCCCATCAAAGCTGGAGAAGAGATAACCATTGCGTACCGCCCTGGTAAGGGAGGAACCTCCGATGTACGACGTGCACATCTTAAGAGAGCGTACGCATTTGATTGTGCGTGTCGTCTTTGCAGTCTCTTGCCAGCCGAGACTCAAGTGAGTGATACACAACGTACCGATCTTGAGTTTCTTAGACATCAAGTGCATAAGGAGGAGCGATTTTTTGAGCACCCTGAAGAAAGCCTAATAGACTGCCACACCTCTGTCAAGATACTCAAAGAGAAAAATAAGGATAGGGCAAACATGTTGATCTCTGACATCTACTGGGATGCTTTCAATATTAGCATTGCGCAAAGTGATCAAGCGCGAGCGAACTGTTTTATGGAGAGGGCTTATAGTGAAAGAATTCTGTGTGAAGGAGAGGATAGCCCGGATGTTCAGGATATGAGAAGATTGATAAAGAAGCCGTCCCAATCTGAAATTTTCGCGCTAACAAGTAAGTGGCAGACTGGAAAGAAGGAAGTACCAAAGGGACTGAATATTGAAGAGTTTGAAAAATGGTTGTGGAGAGATGGAATGTAGACTTCTTGTATTACTGGCCACCTTTTAGTACGTACTCATATAGGTTATTTGAGTCCGTTATGTTGAGGCCGTGTAGGAGGTGGAAATAAGAGCTTTGACTACCTGCGTTTACCTAGTTCGATACTAAATCATAACAGGATAATTTAATGTCCTCGAAAGTAATATTAAACCCACCTTAGACACTATTCTAGTAAATAATCTCAAAGAGAAAGAATAATCGTGTCTAGATAAATACAAACCCTTCGCCGGAGGTTCAAGGGATCATGAAACATGTCGAGCACGAGTATCCGCCAGCAACACTATACTCAATATCATTTCACCAAAACTGACATAGTGGAGTACATCGATGCAAAACTCAGCCGCAAATTATAATCACCGCCAAATAGCGAAAAAAAATGGAAGTGAAACTTTTGAGACGACTTGTCATTGTACTTCTTAGTATTTATATACAGTTGCGAAACGTGTTCGTTGATTCATCATTCATTCAGCCCTTCCCAACCCGAGTCCCAAGTCCAAGTCCAAGTCCAGTCCATTGCCAATAATGATACTGATGATACTCCTTCACTCCTTCCCTCCCTGGATATAATATGCTAGTACTCGAATAAAGTATGCCCAAAATGCGCCAAAGTAGTATTCCCGAATCAATCACTAAAAAACGACAATTGAATGCCCGACGTTCATATACATACAGCCGTTGAAAAATTACAAAAACTCCTAGTCCAATTCGATATCCAGTTCTGGACCTCCCAAACTTTCTCTTCCCGCCTCTCTAATCCCCTTTGCAGTTACGAAGCGAGTCTTCTTCTTAACTCCGCCAATTGTATTGACTCGCTTACGCTTGTTGATCGGGCTCAATCGAACAGAAGGCTTGGTACCAATGAGGCCAAGCTTCCTAGCATCTGGCGGAGACAGTTCTCTTTCGCTGCTTCTAGTATCTTGTGGGTTAAGTTGTGCCGGATTACGTCTCTTCATGTAGTCAGCACCGAGTCCTCCACCCATCATTCCTAATTTCCTACCGAGCTCCCTTTCTTTCTCTAGAGCTAGAAGTTGTTTTGTCATTCGGTCTTCCTTGGTGCTTCCTCTGTGAAAAGCATCTGGGTCAAAATCAACATCGTCTAATAAGCTTACGGCGCTTCTTTTGCCAATGTAAATTTGACTATGGCTTTCTCTGTCATATTTCGTCTTTTCACCCCTCTTGAGTTCTTCTCGGCGTTGCTTGTAGCCCGCCATATCTCGAGAGTTGTATTTTTGTTCCGTTCCACCTCCGCCAAGATTACGTTTTGGGCCGAAGCTCATAGTGTTGACTTCCATGCGGTTTGCATGTGTCTTGGTGAGAGAAAGATTTACGTGATAGTCGCAGAATTCGGTGTGTCGTGTATTGACCCAGGTATCACAAGTTTTACCGTCTCTTTTGACGCTCTTGCAATATCCTAAATCTCTATTTGTGCCAATTTCAAGTATTGTATCGTCACTTGAGCTAAGCGTAAGGCTGAATTTACCTGTGTCAGTTTTCCCTCGAGCTGGAGGCATGAATCCGGGGTTAAGGAGGGCAATAACAGTTCCTGGTGTGAGCTTCCAGAACTTTTCAAAGGCAGTTCTGAAGAGAAAAAGTTCGATTTCCCATTTGAGATCGGTAAGGGTAAGGACCATAAATTTGCCGCCATTCTTGGCTTGGTCCTGGTGCGCTCGTGGTGCAGATTTTGCTGCGATGGTTGCGAACACAACAACATCTTCTTCGATCTCGGGACCGGCAAAGTCTGGGGCTTTCACAGTCCTAAGTAAATCGGGTATAAGAAAAGTTTTCTTTCCCTGAAGGGTTCGAGTGAGTACTTGATGGGGAATGATTCGCTTGGAGAGATGGGAGGTAGAATATGGTTCAAACTGCGAAGTTTCACCATCGGAAGTGTCTGATGACGCTTTGTTAAGATTGCTATTCGAACGCGTTCGATTCAAATTATCGAAAGCACTTCGCGCGGTTACATTTTTGTCTTGTGAGTCGGGTCTTCTATCACGTGAGTCTGGCCTGTTCAAGAACTTTGCTTCAGTGCCGTTCCTCAACGCTGAACGATAAGTATCAAATGAACTTTGAGAGCTCTGCGAACCATTGCCGTTTCTGAAAGCTAAACGTTTCGAGGCATCAAAGGAGTTTTGAGAGTCCTGTGAGCCTCTTCTCAGGCCAGCGTATATTTCATGGCTATTTTTAATTTCGGGACGTCTCGAGCTATCAAAAGAGCCTTGTGGACCTTGGACCTGGGGCCTGGCGGTTGTTTCGTTGCTGTTAGTTGGAATTGAACGTAAATTCGAAGTAGTTTTATGCCGTCTTAATTCCCCGTTCGAATTGTTGAGAGAATTCAAGACCTCATCTCGACTGAATTCTTTGGCGGGAGCAGGATGGCTAGGTAATTCGATTGCATTGGATTTGAATGACTCCATCTGCTTCTGATCTATATCGAATGCTGTGCTGCGAGTTTTCTTGATTCGTGCTGCCCTTTCCTGTCGCTCAGTATCCGTAATCCTGGCTGCAGCCATTCTTTCGCTAAAAGATTTCGGTCTCTCCACCTGATTAAAACTTTGCGATGCAGGTATGCGATTTCCAGTTTGTGACTGACTTCGTTGTAGGAATGGCCCGGTTCGCTTCGCATTGTTAAAATCTGACTCTAGATTCTTCCTTAGGCCCGGTGCTCTCTTGAGCGAAATGTCTACTCCTTTCAATCCTTTATCAATACCAAGTAGAACCCTTCCAGGAGATTGTGGAAGTTCAGCAGGCTGAACACGGCGCGGTGGTGATGCTGGAACATTGATCTCGGTACGTGATTTTGGGCGTTGCGACGGTCTCTCTCTTAACCCTGCCGCTCCCAATCCTGCCAATCTCGAAGACGCTCTATTTGTCGCTGCAGAGTTTGCTCTCAAAAGACGCGATGTGGGCCTGTGACTCTCAAGTTGCTCGTTCATCTCGATCTTCTCGCCCTCTGAATCCGAACTCTGCTTGTTCTTCTTCTGCAACTGCTTTAATCGAAGTCGCGCTTGGATTTCCTGTAGTTTCAACTGTAAAGTTTCTTCATCGTCTTCGTCGTCGCCCCCCATCTCCTCCATATACATATCGGCTTTCATCCGGTCTTTGCCTATAGCTTGTGGCGTTTGCGAGACAATGGGTCGTCGTTCCGAAGGGGAAGCAGTAGGAGAAAATCCTGTTGCGTATCGTCGTAATCGATCACGACCGCCGGGGGTACTTAATAGTGCTTCTCGGGGAGATCTTGGTGGCCATTGAGCCTCTTCAGCACCGCCTTTTATATACTCAGTCATAAATTTTATACGGGAATGACAGCGCACATACCTTGGAACATAATGAGCACAATAATAATGTGCAAGTAACAGAATATGCAGCTAAGAAGCGGTTTAAATCAATTCGATATCGTGATATCAATTCTCGCGAAGGATTGTTGTTTGTCATATATACTGCAAATTCGGGGTAACTGTTGACTTGTATTGCGTCTTGTTAAACGTCCATCTATAAAATTCCGCACCGTAGAAAGTTGTAGAAGTCGGATCGCATACACTGTACAATAATCAACGAAATGGAAATTTGATGTTGCTTGTGCTTGGAGAACGCAGTGAATCTGCAGCCGGATCGGAGATAATATAAGATTGTGGGTTATCAAATGGTAAAGGCAGGAATACCATTTGAATTTATGATGTGATTGTCATTCGTTTGCGAGGAAGCTTGTCCATGGGCAGGTAAGATTTTCAGCTCATTCAGATAGGAATTGAAGTAGTGTGAGCTTTAACTTTGGGTTATCGTTCGCTCTATCGCTCTATTTCCAAATCCAGATGTTTGAATTGAAGCAAAAGCGCAAAACCCCGGATTTCAAGATATAGTGCAAGCCAATAGGCGCTCCCAGCCTTGGACTTCAATTTAAAGCAATTGGCTTTATTGGTTGCTATGCATGACTAAGCCGACGCGCTCTAATGTAACGCGACAAGACGCGACTTCTTTTAAAGTGGTTGAGTCTCATAGCTGGAGATTCCAAGATAGCTAGATATATATTCACCCAAAACTCAAATACACAACATAGTGGTTTACTTGCGACTCACTGAACAGTTCTACAATAATTATACATACTATTATTTAGGATATGGTGGTTAAAACTAGAGGGAGACCAGCCACCAAAGCTGCAGCAGTGGAAACAGAACCTTCGAAAGTCGCCGATCCAAAAGTCAAATTGCAGCCAGACGATGTCAACCCCCCGAGGGTTTTCATACTACCAAAGGATATCACTACAGAGGCTCGGATTATCACACTCGAAAATCTTAGATATGCAAAGGATAGTCGGTATCTTGTATGCCCCAGTAAAGGTTTCAATGAATTTACTCGAATAGCTGCACCAAAAACCACACCTAAAAGCTGGTTACTTGTACCGGAAGATGAGTCGACGGCACCATTAGAGGAAGAAATACCCAAAGATGAAACGGATGATAGAGAAGACCCTTCGTTCAAAGCCAAAGGTTATGTCACGAAAGGGGCAGATCTATTCATTGCTACGCCAATCGACTCTCTATTCATTATTCTTCCAGCTCTTGCACCTGTTCCCACAACCAAAGTTTCGGATCCACCCAAAAAGTTATTCCTGGCTGGCGATGATTATTTCGACAAATTAATATCTGCATCACCACATTTGGGGTCTTTCCTAAGAGCTGGCCCGTTACGATCCACGCTAGAAAAAAGAATGACGGCAGTGTGCGATACAGTGGACGCTGGGGACGAAACAATGTTCAGAATAAACGAGGAAAAGCTATCCAAGGAACTTTTAAAAAAGGCCAAGAAAATGGTTGAGTACGGTCTGCCTGCTAGTATGGAGGAGAAACTCGTTAGAAAAGCACTGGACGTACCAGTGCTGAGTATCAACCGTGGAGAGGAATCTACTCAGGAAGGATTGAACGAGGAAGCGAGAATATCGGCCAATTCAGGAACTTCGACTCCACAAATCGAGTCACAAACTACACAGATTACAGAGTCAACCACAGATACTGTAGCGAGTTCACTTTCTGAAGCTTCAACAGCAGCAACATCAATATCGGGCGATTTGGCTGATGCCTCTAAAGATGAGAAAATAAGCATACCATCGATCGATGCACCCGAGGGTGTTGCGGATCTGCTGCGCATACGTACGGCATTCTCTTTTATTTGCTCGAATTACATAGCTCCTCACCTCAGTGACATATTGAAGAATTCTTTGAAATCATCAGCATCACCTATCGACTTCACCTCCTTGGATAGCCATCTCGCATATCTAACGAAATTGCGGCAAGATTCTTTGGCGGCAAGATCTATGGGAGATTATTCCAGGAAGCGAGCAACTGTAGGTGATGACGAAGAGATAGAAACGCGCGCAGAAAAGAAGCGCAAACAAGACGAGGAGGATAAGAGGAAAAAGGCTGGTGAGAGCAGAGGTGTCAAGAACCTAAAGAAGGTCAACACTAGTGGTATGAAAAAGATGAGCGATTTCTTTAAAAAGAAATGATTGTACTTATTACTGCAAGACATCTGGCGTTGTGGCAGGTTCGAGGTATGGCCTGGGGTAATGGTCGATCCAGGTTGGCACATCTGAGACACCATCATGTAGAATTTTGTAGCGAATGATTTGAATGATTCATCGTACTCCTCGTGCTCTGCCTCGTGGAATACCTCGTCCAATACCTGATCCACCTCTGCTTGTGCCAGTACCTGTGCTTGAGCCGGTCGAGCTTCCACGACCATACCCTGACGAGCTAATACTTCCAGGTCTTAATACTCCTCCTCTAGCTCTGCCTCTTCCTCCTCGGGTCCCACGAGATGTTGTGCCAGCTTGTCTTTGCCGTTCTTCATCCTCCGCTCTTTGCCTTGCAGCCTCTCTTCTTCGCTCTTCCTCCGCAGCCCGACGTTCAGCAGCTTGAGCTTTCAATACCTGCTCGTTCTCCATATCTGCAACATCCTGACTTGCGCCCCGCCAATTTGGATTCAAAATCAATCTTTGATTATGTTCCGTCTGTGATAGTATGCGAATCCATGTATTAAGTAGCATTGAAGCGGATGTAACCGTTTGTGAGACTGTCTGAAATAATTCTTAGCTATGATCCAATGCCTATCGTACAAAGTCTCCTTACATCCATATTTCCCTTTGCAAGATCAAGACTGCCTAGTACTCCTTCTATGAGTTCATTGATATTGCGAACTCCTTCCAGTTCCTTTTGTAGAGCCGCTTCTCTTGCTGTCTCAGCATCGTATTTTGACCCGCCACTTCTTTGCGCCGGCGCATTGCCTTCTGAACTCTTGCTTAGAGCCTTGAGATCAGCCTTTGAGAGTTTGGAAGGGGATGCAAAAAGGTCTTCATTATCTGAATCTGAAAGGTCTAGCTTGCCAATATCTGGGGTAGCCATCATGGACCAAGAAGTAAGGACAAGGACAAGGACAGGGTCAGTGTCGGTATCAGTGGGTCAGTAAGAAAGGGTGTGACTTTGAATGTTTCTAGAATCCTTCGAAAGACCCCCAAAGAGTATATTTTGACGCGTAAAGTCACGTAAATTCACAAATTCACGTCCATTTGGTCCAAATATTCGCTGTCATTCATCAATCTAACAGAAATTGTCCGAGCGTTGGGGACACTAATGAAAGCCTAAGGAAATCAACATGGCTGGGAATTCTTCTTTCAACCTCCTGGTTTTCTGGTCAAGACAGTAAACAAGACCAATATTGTCATCCCTTCGACCTTATTCTTGTCTAATTCCTTCATTTATGCAATATCCTCATTTATACAAGAGTATTTTGATTCCTTTGCTTAGCATTTCAGCGTCATCGTCGTGATTTCACAAAATACAGACATTTTCTGTGCCACATCAACAAGCAGATCAACAGACAAGCAATACAACCACTACCGTACCAACAGCTGGTTTATTTACATCGTCGCTTTGAAACAATCTATACATATACCATCAGCTGCAGATACATTTCACCTTTCACTAAGAATCACTTCTCGATACCTTTCAATTCTATCCTCTCTTCCAAAAACGGGGTTTTGAGTAGATTTTGAGCATTGGATTGAACGACGTTTACCTTACCGACCAACCTTGAAGGTTCTTTTTTTGTTTGCGAAGATGGCTTCCGCTACAATGAGACCGAGTACACCACCACCTTCCAGTTCCCTCAAAACTCCATCAACACCACGATTCGGTTACGACGATAATTACGAACCGTATTCACCCAGAAAATCAAGTCGAGTAGCCTCAAGGGCAATTCGTAACGCGGTTACTCCACCACCTCCATCTATTAAACATAATATTCGCAACAGTCTTTCTACTCCGCAATCAACACCTCGAGTCGCTAGAAAAGTTGTCTTCTCTGGTACACCTCAACATATTCACTCGTCGCCGCCTAATAAATCCCCTCAAATTGCGACTAAACGACGCGCACCTAAATCGTCTACCACAATTGCCGGCCGACAAGTTTCTGGCGCAATAAATCTCGGCAGCACAACATCCGCAGCTACAGCTCTCGGTCTTACTCCCAAAGATAAGAAAAAAGAGCAAAAAATGGACAACCATCAACGAGCTGGTGCGATGGTTCGCGGCGACGGTATGCTACCAACACCTTCTAAAACCCCACGCCATCCCAAGCAAACGGAGGAATTGAAGCAAGGAATTAATGCGGTTTCACGTACTCTTTTTACCTCGATCCATGCCGACAATTCTGCGGATGCGATGCCAAAACCTAAGAAGAATCGCAAGAGATACGATAATTTTGACTTTGGAAGTTCATCTGCAGATGAACCAATTGCTATATTCACCGACTCTGAGGATCGCATTCCAGAGGTCGACAGCCATGCCGATAACCCTTTCCTTGGTAGTAGCCCTCCACACAACACTAGAGGCAGAAGCCGCAAGCCCAAGTTGATTCACGTTCCAGGAGAAGAGGATCAAACTATGGAGCAGCTTATGGGTCGTGAGGATGGACATGTTTCTAATTTGTAAGTCGCATTATCTTCACCCGACCCAAGATTGTTTTTTTACTAACTACTACTACAGCCGTGGTAAACTTATCTTTAAGAAAAATTCAAACGCCTCCGCAAGTCACAGTCCAACCCGAGGTGCAGGTCGTGCTGAAGTTATGATTCTCGATCAAAGCTTTGCAGGCGAATTTAATGGACCTGTTACACGTTCATGCAGACGTCAATTGTTCACCAACAATCGCAGAGCTCCCGTCATTCCACAAGTTCAAGTCACCACCGAAGACGAAGAGGAAGCTTTGACCGATATCGAGGAGAAATTTGACACCGACACGACAGAGAGTGATGCTGAATTACGCACTCCATCCCACAATCAAGGTCTTATGACTCCGGATGCACCAAGATTTGGACCATCATCTTCACCCACTATCAAGAGAGCTACACGTGCTACAAAGAGATATGATGTTGTCGATTCTCCAGTAACTCCCCCACGCCGTGGCCGCTCCCACGTTACTAGCCCATCCAAGTCTTCTGGAAGTGACAACAACTTCGAACGTGCAACCAGAAAGCGGGATGGAGAATCTGTTTCAAGACCTACCGAGGAAGTGAAGAGAGCACGCAACTAAGATTCTCTTAGAATTCTGGTTATGACTTTTTTATTTGTTGAAGGGATATTGGAACGAAGATTGAATGCATATTGGCGAACGCATGGGACGGACTGGATGGGAGTTTTTCACAGAGGTTCTCGAGATATCTTCTCGTGAGCTTTCTTTGACTGCAGGCACCTGCAGTGTTTATTTCTTTTAATCGCCTACTTGATGCTTTTTACTTCTTAACGGTTATTCCTGCATGATTTGATGAGTTCTTCGAGGCCATCGCACATAGCAGAATTTGGACCCCTTCCCGCGCACCTCTTTTGTAAAATACCAGGCAATGGCGTTTTCAGTTTTCAGGCATAGCGAGAATTGGTCTACTACTGTACCTAACGAGATAAAATGATGATCAAGCATATTAATGAATGTTTCTTTTGATGTGATTCGATTGTGATTGTCCTGTATGTCATGTAAATGATGCCATAAGTACATAAGGACCTAAACCCGGTAGTGTTAAACTTAATAGCTCAAAGAGCCCTTGTGTTGAAGCGTTTTAAATCCCTGACTAAAAAGATCCGTATCGATAAATATCCCCCGCACATCCCACCAAAATATCAACAGCTCTTTTGAATACAAACAACTTTTCAGACAACCACATTCAAGATGCATATTCTCGTAAGTGAAAGTTCATATTGTATCAAATATCGATATTCTAATTAACAATTCATAATAGGTAGTAAATGATGATGGACCTCCCTCCAACAAATCCTCTCCCTATGTCCACTCCCTTGTCCAAACTCTCCAAGCCGCTGGCCACATAGTCTCCGTCGTCCTTCCCCATACCCAACGTTCATGGATAGGTAAAGCGCACATGGTCGGTCAAACCGTCAAACCCACATACTTCAGACCCGGTACCCTTCACGAAGATGACGGTACAACACATGCTCGTCCCTCGAGCGACAATAAGGAAGAATGGGTATTGGTAGATGGCACACCTGCATCGTGCGTACAAATTGGTCTTTATCATTATTTTAAAGATAGAGGACCAGTCGATTTGGTTGTTAGTGGGCCAAACTATGGACGAAATAGTACGGCGGTCTTCAGTTTGAGTAGTGGAACTGTTGGAGGGGCGATGGAGGCGGCGATTTGTAAGAGAAAGGCCATTGCGTTGAGCTTTGCATTTTTTACCAGAAATCATGATCCAGAAATTATTGCAGGCGCAAGTAGAGTTGGAGTGAAGATTATCGAGTATTTGTATAACAATTGGGGTGAGGGAGTGGATTTGTATACGGTCAATGTTCCGTTGGTGGAGGGAGTAGAGAAGAACAAGATTTTGTGGACAACTATGTTGCAGAACTACTGGGGAGAAGGAAGTTGCTTTGAGGAGGTAGACGGAAACGATGCGGATGCCGATGAGGAAGAAGAAAAGATCAGAGAGAAGGAAGGGCAGCAGGGAGAGGGGGGTGGAGAGGGGAAGAAGGCTGTCGGACACACACATAAACATTTCAAATGGGCACCAAGGTTCACAGACGTCTACAAGAGTGTAGAAGAATCTGAACCTGGTAACGATGGCTGGGCTGTTAACGAAGGTTACACAAGGTATGTTATATTTGAAATAAAGACTTCTCCTGAGACTAACATTACTATAGTGTCACTCCATTAAAGGCAAATTTCATGCATGCTACTGCGGCGACACAGGGAGAGTTAAAGTTGTGAGTTATTACTGGCATACCAATAGAGCGTTAGATATTGTTAGACCAATACAAGTTCCTTTCCACTCATTTTAAACGTACCAACGTAATCAAGCACCTCTGACCAATCCTTTCGCCAGACCATCCTCAGACCCAATACCATCAATATCGGATCTCTCCCTTCAAGAACCCAAGTCAAAACAATGTCATTTCTACGCCTATATCGATTATGAGGATTCCTATGTCCAACCGCTAATCCTTTCGGCTCTGAGGCAACTCCCTCAATCTTCATATACACTTCTCTCTTCTCCCTCTGACCTCCCAACTCCAGAATCACCATACCTCCATATTTCATCATACGAAACCATCCCTTTTGATGAAATAACATCGAAGCCTACAACCTCCCTTACAAACGCCTATGTTATCCGCAAAGCCCTCATTCGTAAACACTATTTGAGTGAAACATCCCATATATGGTGTGTTAAAAACCCTGACTCTATTCTCAAAACAAACATCAAGCGCGCAGAGCATTTCGAGGTCGACTACGCCGAGTTCTTAGATGATGCAGTGGTAGAATGTTGGGACTTAAAGGAAAGCTTTGCACGAAACGAAAAAGTTGATGAAGACGGAGGTAACGCCTCAGATAGAGAATGGTGGATATTGAAACCAGGAATGAGTGATAGAGGGCAGGGCATTAGGTTGTTTTCCTCTTACGAAGAACTCCTTGCCATCTTCGAAGGATGGGAAGAGGACGCACCTGATTCCGACGAAGAGGACGAAGAAATTGAAAATCATGACGATGAAGAGAAAGACTATATCCAGACATCCCACCTTCGTCATTTCCTCGCACAACCATATATCCATCCACCGCTCCTCCTCGCCCCAGATGCTGATACAACAGCTCCTAAAAACACTAAATTCCATATCAGAACATATGTTCTCGCTTCTGGAGCACTGGATATTTACGTGTATAAATCCATGTTAGCCCTCTTCGCTAGCTCAGCATACGTTCCTCCCTGGTCTTCATCCTCTTCCTCCTCGGGCGAAATAGATCTCAACCCGCATCTTACAAACACCTGTATACAAACCTCGGACTCAAAGAAAAATGCCGTGCATCTTCTTTCTTCTCTCCCTTTCCCCGCCTCTCTACATGAGAAAATACAGACCCAAATATCTAAATTAACAGCAGAGATTTTCGTTGCAGCCGCTAAGGAAATGAGTATCCATTTCCAACCATTGCCAAATGCGTTTGAAGCGTTTGGACTTGATTTCTTGGTGGATGCGGATGGAGTGGTTTGGTTATTGGAGGTTAACGCGTTTCCAGATTTTGGTCAGAGTGGAGAGGAGTGTAAGGCGGTTGTGGAGGGATTTTGGAAGGAGGTTGTTGGGAAGAGTGTTGGTGGATTTTTTGGCGTGGGATCCGAGGGTGGTGAGGAGGAGGGAGAAGAGCAGTTGGTGAGAGTTGGGGGTGTGGATTTGGGGAGGAGGTAGGTTGATGGATGTGATGAATTGGGTGCGGAAAAGTATTGGGATGGTTATCTACTGTATTATGTATTGACTAGCTAGTGGTGTGGGTGTTTAGCTTTGCATATGCCAAGCTACGTTATCTTGCTTTGGAGTATTTGGGAGAGAAACCTATCAGGCTCGATATAGATATATATGTACCTTTTGTAAACCAACACTCTGAATTCCATAAAACCAATCTCACAATACTATCTCCAACCCCTTGCTCTGACCTCGTTATATCGTACCATATCATACCTACCCGAATCAAATCTCACATTAATCATACCATATCACATAAACTACAATGAATATCTACAAATTCCCTGTCTCATCCCCTTGATCTAAACCTCCCATCTACACACATAGAAACCAATCTGTAACAATAATCCCAAGATCTAGTCTCGAGATTCAGATTTATATTTATATTTATATTTACATGTACATTTATATTTCACTCCTGAGATGAGATGAGAAGAAATGAGGAAAAAACGAGATATAAGATATACGAAGTCATCTAACTCGCAACGAATTTGGAATCCTGTTGTTCACATACCTATGTATGGCTTTAACTGTAAGAAAGGCTTTCTTAGCTATGCTATGCTAAGCTAGAATATACTCTTCTCAAATGTGAGACTCGAGAGGTTTATGTGGAATTGGGATTGGAATCGTGGAATTGGAATCTTGGGATAGAATATCTTATGATGGTGGGATAGGAGGGAATGAAGGAGACTTTAATTTAGTATATGAGAGTAAGTGAGAACAAGAGAAGAGTAGAAGGAAGGGTGCTGTTATTGCGGATTCTTGTTAATTATCAGGACAGGTGGGATTTTTTTGCAGGGGATGAGGGGGAATGTGTAGGTTTAAATTTGAGAGGGCATGCTGGGAATGCATGTGATGGGTAGGTAATCAATATCGATTTGAGAACATACATGCATGATATTGGAAGTTTGATATGTATGTATGTATGTATGTATGTATGTATGTATGTATGTATGTATGTATGCTTTGTAGATAAGACAAGAAAGATAAGATAGATCTTCCAGTTTGGCGTGGTTCGTTTTGAAGGAGAAGCAATAGACTACCCACCTGCTTAAAGATACCTATATATCTACATATCGTACGATGAAACCCATGTAAAACCCTATTTGTAAGTACCTAAGCTACCACTAAATAAACCTTCTCCTTCTACACACATTCAAATCTTCATGCATATCCACTCTATTCCATCTAATTTGCAGATCCAACCTTCATAGACATATCCTAGTTCCAACATTCCTTGATTACCTTCCCATATCAAATTCCAAATACATCATATCCCCGCATCAAAAAATCTTCCATGACGAGAAAGAAATAACAAGCTACTCATGATTCACAATGTTAGATAGGTACGTAGAATGTATGAGAGACAAATCCCAAGTTCTAATCAGCCGACTGGTAAAGTTAAAGTCAAAGGTATGACAGTTGACCATAGATATCTAGCTAATCTATCTACTCACTCGAGGAGATGAGAAACTAAGGATGAGGGGAAAGAAACTCGGTGTCCATTATCAGTTTTCTCCCCACAATCCATCACGCTCATCCTAATCCTCGCATCTCGAATCAGACAATCTACTCCGCTCCTCAACCACCGTCCCTAAAACATCTGAAATATCTATTCACAACACTTCGCACATCGCACTCCGTCTCCTGCTTGATCTATCCATCACATTTCTAGTTTCCTAACACCTCCCATTCTCCATCTACTTCTCCCACATGCTGCTTATCATATATACCATATCCATCCAATACATGCATTACCCAACTATCCCTCCCCCTATTTCTTCACCCCCTCGAAAGCCGCCAGGAGATCTGCTATTTCGCCATTTATCTCGAAACTGTAGATTCAAATAGTGCATCAGGACAATGATGCCAGAATGAAAATAAGAAGATACTAGGGCTATACCCCAACGACATTTCGGAAAGACAAACAAGCAAATGACACGACGTTATAGGGAGCGAGGGAGAGAAAGTCAAAGAAAAATACCAGACGTTTGAGAAATTTGAGGCGATAGAGTCGAAGCAGATAGGGAGGGAATTTGTACGGAGACCATCTGTATGAGCGCGAAAATGCAGACGAACCTCTCGAGTATACAGGAGACGATGATTGTCAGATATCCAAAGCGAGTAGACTCGGCATTTCAGACTTGTTATAAAGTATCAAGGGGTTGAAGAGCAAAGCTGGAAAGAAGAAGGGGCTAGAGGGAAAACGGCTTAAGGGAAAGAAGAGGAAATCAAAGGACATATCATGGTGATTTTTGTATCTCTTAGCAATAGGTCCTTGGTACTGGTTACGTTACTGATGACAAGAAATCTTGAGCTAGCAAGTGGGAATGGAACATGCTAGATAGGGACATATAAATTCAGAAGACAAATTAATGGAAAATAAATTGGCGGGAAGAAAATAGAAGAGGCTTAGAAGAGGCAGCAAACAAGATATGCTATGCTGGACGCTATTAGCTGAATGTAGACTCCTATCAATGAAGTTGTTGACGCTGGTCTTTAACTTAAAGTACGGTATCACAAGAATTCAAAACAAAAACAACTGCTAGCATTCAAATCGTTCGTTATAAATCATTTGCAATTTCTTTAGATCCGTCGTCTGTTCATTTAAAAAGCTGTTTCGTCTTTCCAAAATCTCCCTCATCACAATTCTCCTTCCAAAAGTAAAGGTAAAGAAAAAGCACTCCCCTATTCCCAAATACGCATTCATAGATACTATCTAGATACAGTCCTCAAAAAGATCCACAAGTCATAACATTGAACATAGCATTACCACCTTCGACCCAAAAACTAGAAAACGCCTGAGAAACGCCAGGGCACATTCATATACACTCCAAAGTAACGCTCGCTCAGAACAAAGATACTGGGTATCAATTAGAAGGAGTGATTGTGTGTTCAATCCAAAGGGTTGTTATATCATAAAGGCTCTTGAAAGAGACACCTCCATCTGTGTTCCTGGAGAGCGATTCATTTTGATAGAGGTGTTTTTGCTTAGGCTTTGGCGGCGGGTTTCTTAGAAACCTTGGTGGCAGGCTTCTTTGGTGCGGGAGTGGCCTGGGAAAGAAGGATATGTTAACTAAGTGAGGATATAAAACGAGTTGGGGTGAAGATCAAAGTATATGAAACTAGAAATATAACATACCTTCTTCTTTGGCGCCGGCTTCTCAGCAGCTGGCTTCTCGGCAGTAGCCTCCTCGACTTTTTCCTCAACGATCTCTGCGGCCTTCTCGGCAACCTTTTCGGGTTCCTCTACAGCAGCTTCAGGCTATAGAATAATCAATATCTAGTCTTAGATACAGCAATATCTAACGTACCTGGGCAATAGCTGCGGGCTTCTTCTTTGGGGCAGCGGGTTTCTTAGAGACAGCGGATTTCTTAATAACGCCTATTGGCTTAGAGCCGTTGGTTGGAGCAACCTTCTTTCCAGTGTTTGCCTTTGGTGCGGCCTTTGGTGTGGCATTCTTTGGCTTAGGAGCTACGACAGGTGCTGGGGCAGGCTTGGCTGGGATTTTGCCTAATATATCGAGTTAGTGAAGCTCCGTGTTTACGCGATTTTGCGAACGTATATTTCAATAGCTGAAGAATGGGATCTGGGAAAGGAATATAAGAAGTAACTCACCAGTAGAGGTTCTAGTTACACTAGGCATTGCTTCCTATGAGCATTAGTTAGTAGGATTGTATGGTGTGGAAGAATCACATAGATTGGCGCAAGATGAATGGGAGGCGCGTCAACAATGCAATATGCGATGCAAAATGGGCATAGATATCGGATAGTTACTTACTTTGTTTGAATGTAATGGATTTGATAGTGTATGGAGAGGTTTTCGTCGCGTTAATCTATAGATCTGATGGATCAAATATGAAAGATTTACGGATTGTTGTTGTTTTGTGGGAGAGGAAAGGAAGGAAGATGTGCTGGGAGAGGTGTGGTGTTATGGTCTGGGACCGACCACGAAGCCCGCTAAGCGGAAGGAGACCTTCTCAATTCTATCAAGGCTCAAAATGATATTTGTTGTTAATATTTATATTGATATACGTTTGTAATTTATTCCGGGTAAATTTATGAAGTTGAAATTATGTTCAAATGATTATTGTTAACTTTTAATATCAAACTTATATATAGTCTTTCTTGCTTCCTCTTCTCTTCTCTTTTTCCTTCTCCTTCTCATTCTCATTCAGACCATTTTGATTTTCCCTCAACATGTCCCTCATTTCTAGCCATCACGTGTAACATGATAGGACTTCCCTGAAAAGCCCTGGATCTACCCGCTAGAAGCGAACAAGATGCAGGTTATCAGTTAGTTATCTTAGCACCAGGTGGGGCAATAGAGCTTGGAAGAGGAGAAGGGGAAGAGGAGAACAGGAACAGGATCAGGATCAGGATCAGGAACAGTGCACCAAACGGATCGGAGGATAAACAATTCTCGAAGCTTTTAGTGAAGCTGAAGGGAAGAAGAGAAAACAGGGGAATCCTGTCTATCAAAAAAGGTGATGCATTTACACGGTACAACATAAACATCTTCCATGAAGTAGGAATCCTTCACAACTATCAGTCCAAAATACGAGTAGAAGGGTTACATTGCAACCTTTTACAGGAAAGAACAACAAATGCAGGGGCTGTGGAATGTTTCATCATCATGGTGATGATTTGCAACCTGATAACCCATCACAGAATTAATTGAAGAATTAAACATGCGGATGAGTATTGGAGATACGGAATGAGATAGAACGATGAAATTAAGCTGGGGATTCAAATCAAGAAAATATCAAGTGGTATCAATCATTAGAGATGTTTTCCGATATTAAGCTGAGATATACCTTATATGCTTATGAAGACATCTTTTACAGGTTGTTCAAGAAAGAGATTCGTTTTGATTTCTGCTACTACTTTCCATGAAGAGTGGCAATCATGCTGTTTCCAGTATTTTCATTATCTGTCTCGAAGTTTATTTTCCAATCTACAAGATATTGTGAAATGGGTACCAGCTCCCGTCTTTTATTGGCTTTGCTATCTTTAATCCTCGGATTTCCCATCATTTTCCCGAAGCCTCTAGAGAACCCTACATTGTCGTCGAAAGAACTGACATAGATTTAATTCACGGTACTAGCTAGTGATTTATGATCCACGGTTCTCAACTCTACATAACCTAAGGTTAATAGCGACAGCAATGATACCTAGTGCAGTCAATTCATTATCATTTGGTGAGCAAGAAGTGCTTCGCCTTCAACTACAATGCTGTGGCTCCGATACGTTGGAATGAAGTACTCGATGAGTGGAAAGCTGGAAAATTTCTCTGTTCTCATTATCTTGGGTAATCGACTTGAACATTGATGAAGCAACCGAGATACGGTAATCTAACAAATATAATTCCAGAAGTTGGTTTTGCTGCGATTTTGTTTTTCGTTGAGTGTGGTCACAGTGAACGTGATGGAATTCACATCTTCAAGCTACTTTGAGGAAGTATGTTGCAGCTCATGAAACTGCGTACTTACCTCTGTATAATATTTAGCTGAGCAAGTAAAGCGATACTTCATTCAAGTCATAACGGCGAATGTTTTTTGCTTTTTTAATAGGCCAAATATTTGCTGTACACTGTGTTAAGGCCAATATGGAAATGGAAATGGAAATAGAAATAGAGGTGTTCAAAGGTGTACTGAATAAGTAAAAGGAATCCAGTGAAATTGAACGAAGAAACATAGTCATTAGAATCTCTATTTCAGTGCCATCCCAAAACCATGGAATTTCATAAATAAATAAGATCAAGGTGAGGGGATGACATAAAATAATATGAGATGTACTTTAGTCGTTTGTCAAAAGTCAAATTGTAGTTTCAGCGTATCATAATTACCCATATCAACGAATATCTACACAATTATTACTACACTTTTTCCCTTTTACCTCTCAACTCTTGACTTCACTCTCTATTCTTATAAAGCACAAAAAGCTTGTAATTCGATCTATACAACTCATTATATCTACAATATCACCGTCACCATCCAACAGAGCTGTAAATATCCATACAAGATGGCATGTTTCCAAAGAAGAACAAACTCAACCACTTTCAAACAATCATTTTGGTGGATTTCCCCTCTACCTTTCCTTTTCCTCCTACATCTTTCAAACATCTTGAATTTCATTGCTAACAACTTTCTGGATACTAAAAGAATCCACTTCTGAACACCTCTACACATGTAACAGCAATTCTAACATATCAAGCCTAAAGAAACCGACAGTAGTAGAGTAAATATTCTCAAATTTCATGTATAATTCTTACTTCATTATCATACACCACACAATCTCCATACTCTCTAATACGAAGGAGTATCAGTGGCTAATGATGCCTGGCACCCATTCATTACGATCTCTTCCATCTCTTTTATATTCTCTCTACTCCCCCTCTCCTCCACTCTCGTCTAGTATCTCCTCACACATCTCAAACTACTTCACTTCTTTCCAAATTTCCTCAAAAATCATAAAAACACTTCAATTTCCCTCCAGACAACTCTGTTTCATACACCTCATGAATCTCTCCGCCCCGTAGATATCTAGTTCTCATTCGTCTCCTAGGCCCTCTTAACGCAATCAATACATTGTACTTACTATTTCTGAAGCCCACCTCCTACTCTCATCTGCTACCATCATAGTCCCTAGATATCTCAATAGTCCAACTTTTATTTATCGTGTAATATGTTGGTTACTATGATATGAATTTATACAGACCAGTACAGTACAATGGATCTCTCATTCCCATCTCCCCATCTCCTTGATTCATCTCTTTCTCATTCCCTTATAATATATACATAGAATCCTAGTATACCACGTATCACCTCCATATCTTCCTTCGTTTTCTCCGAATCGAACTCAAATGGGAATGGATTGGGAACTGTTATGTTTATTTAGATTGTAAAGTGATAAATTGTAAGATAAAGAGAAAGAATAACTCGGATTCTAGAGTCTATAACTTCTGGAATATATGTATGTAGGTAGCTAGGTAGACATGTTGTATGAGTTTCGAAATTCCGAATGTAACCTTTGAAGTAAGAGAATTAAAAGTAAAAGTAGAGGAAATTTATACCTAGGAGAGATGTATGTATTTAGGCACGAATGCGATGAGATGGATTATCATAGTATAGTATAGTATAATGAAATATCCCAAGAACTTGGGGGGTATGTAGTCAGGACTCAGGAGGTATACAGAGGAGAAATGAGATGAGATGATACGAGAATGTCGTAACGAGGAATTTTACGTGAAAGCAAAATAACAAAACGAAAAACAAACAACCAGAGGATGGATAGAATAGAGAGAAGAGATACTATCATACATTTTTCGTGTTTCTTTATATGGATGAGGTATAGATTACCTGGGCTTTGAACAATGATGATGGCAGTATTGTAATTAGTATTTTCCGTATTTCAATTACACCCCACTTTAGTGATATATATTAATATTTGTAAAAATATTTCAGTAATTATTATTGAATTCTATATCACTGAAAGTATTCGATATATTAACAATATTGAATATCACTAACAATATACTGAAATGCGGGAATTTACATATTTATACTTGAAATTCACATATTTTCAACCATCTTTTTCCTTATTAGACTTAAACTCATTTAAAATATATAATATTCCATAGAAACATACAATATTCTAATAAAAATATATAATATTCCCGTATTTCAATATATCTTCAGTATAATCCTTTCATACAATACATACAGATATGAATATCATTGGCTATTATACGTACTAGCGTACGTATTATACTCCTAATATCAGCCACAGTAATACTACCGTATACTAATTACAACACTGGATGATGGTGATGATGATTATAAGTATGAAGTATAAAGTATGAACGAACCATCTACAGGAACTTACCTCTCCCTCTCTTCCACCTGCTCACCATCAGGAGACTAAAATCCTCATCCAGCCCTCTTTCTCTTCCTCCCACCTTTCTAAGTTGAGAATCATCAATATAACCAACCAAATCCCCTCCTATTCCCATCATCTCCACGAAATTCACAACATCTAGTCCAGAGTTGCAAATACAAATACATGTATCTCATCCATTCATCCACCCTACCAACTAGTCTCGCCTCATCTTTCTCACCTATCTCTACCCACGATCCTCACACATCAGAGATAGAAACAGAGAATCTTCCAAACATACCTAGACCACCCAACCAACTAATCAACTAAGCATCATTTACCCATTCCCTCCGATCCATAATACGATATCAAGATTTCCCCAACGGAGTGTGGACTCTAAACACCTCGATTGTACATCCCATCCCATCCCATCAAAACAACACCCCTCACCTCAAAAAAACACTTCCTTCACTCCTCCTCCCCTCCTCCACCCCCTCACCCTCTCCCCTCTCAATACCCCAACACAACTCCCTATCCAAAACGCAGATCTAGATACCCTAAAACAAAGCCCGCAGAACCATCCATCTCACGCGTAGCCAGTACCCAGCCAGCTATGACACACTCAACTCCCAAAAAATCAACAAACAATCCACAATCTCATCATCCGAACCTCTGAATTCCCAACCCAGGAATGGAAAGAGAGAAAGAGAGAAAGAAAGAAAGAAAGAAAGAAAGAAAGGAAAGAAAGAAAGAAAGAAAGAAGAAAGA